AAGAGGATCGGGGAGAAAGGAACTGGGCATCATGGGAACAGAGAAGAGAAGCTGGAGCACATGCTGGCATGCACAGGACTTCAGTGAAATCCCTGGCTCTACATGGCCTTCCAAGCACCCCTACAGGGAGCCCTCTTGGTCCCTGAAAGCACTAGAAGGCCCAACAAAAGAAATGTGAATTGCAAAGAGAGAAAAGGAATGAAAATTAAGGTCTGGTCTCAGGATGGGGTGGTTCAGAAAAGAGGAGGGCCAGAAAGAGAGCTCAATGCAGAGCATGCATTGAGAAGACAGAGGTAGAGAGAAGATAAGAGTTCCATCTGTGACATGGCCTGGTTCCCCCAAGTGACTCCTGGGCACAGCTGGGTGTGACCAAAATAATTTTAAACATAATAATTACAAAACAATTGTAATTATTGTTTACAATTAACTTTTAACTTAGTACTCAGAATCACGTTAAAAGCTAGATAGAACTCTGGAGATCATATAGATCAAACCTTCCATCTGTTTTCCCTTTTCCAGTACTAGGCATAGTGCTTAATGCTCACACAAGCCTGGCCTGCAAGAGCCACATCCATGGCCTAAACCTCCCATCATACAGAGGCCAAAACAACAGTAATAGCTGGTAAGGCACTTGCCTTGCATGCAGCTCTCACGTATTCAATCCCTAGATAGCGCCTGAGCACTACCAGGAGTGATTCCTGAGTGCAGGGCCAGGAAAGTAATCCCTGAGAATCACTGTGTATGGCCCCAAAACAAAACAAAACAAAACAAAAAAGAATGAATGAGAAAGAAAGAAAAAGAAGGAAAGAAGGAAGAAGAGAAAAAGAAAGAAAGAAAAAGAGAGAGAGAGGGAGGGAGGGAGAGAGAAAGAAAGAGAGAAAGAGAGAAAGAAAGAAAGAAAGAAAGAAAGAAAGAAAGAAAGAAAGAAGGAAAGAAGGAAAGAAAGAAGGAGGGGAAGGGTGTGTGTGGGGGGGGGGAGAAAGAAAGAAAGGGAAGGAGGAAGAAAGAGTGAAAGAAGATACTTTAACCCTGACCGGATCCCTGAGCGTAAAGCCAGGAGTAAGCTCTGAGCACTGCCTCCCAAAAAAACTAAAAACTGACAAGGAAAAATCAAGTTAAGGAAGGAATAGTCAGCAAATGCCTATAACATCATGTTTTGAAACTTTAATGTGCAGATATGTATGTTACTTGATTCACAAGGCTCAAAATAGGTCCTGAGATGCTGTGAAACTTACAGGTGAGAGGCCAGAGCAACAGCACAACAGGTAAGGTGTTTGCTTTTCACACGACTAACCTAGGTTCAATCCCCAGCATCTCGTATGATCCCCATGCACCACCAAGAATAATTCCTGCATGCAGAGCCAAGAGTAACTCCTGGCATGGTCAAAAAAGAAGGTAAAGGTAAGGTAAAGGCCCTCCCGTTGATCGTCGATTTGCTCGAGCGGGCCCAGTAACGTCTCCATTGGAGACTTTGTTGTTACTGTGTCTGGCATATCGAATACTCTCGGTAGCTTGCCGGGCTCTCCGAGAGGGGCGGAGGAATCGAACTCGGGTCGGCCATGTTGGCCGCTTGTAAGGCAAACGCCCTACCCGCTGTGCTATCGCTCCAGCCCTGAAAACTGTCACTTTTGCCTGAGCACTGGGCAGCACTGGGATTTGAACTCAGGACCTTGTATTTACCAAGCAAACTCTTTAAGCCACTGAGCCATTCTCTGGTCAAAAAAGAAGAAGAAAAAAAAACTCACAGAAGAAATTTGAAGCTAATTTGCTGGTTTTATACCATACTTTGAGCAAAGCTACATAAAGATTCTGCATAGAGTCCATCTACTTTGTAACACTTGTAAAATTTATTAAATTATATGTATACAAGTGTGTAAACATAAACACATATATAATCCTCACATGTTGATTGCTAATGTGTTTTTTTGGTGGTGGTGATATAAGTTTTGGCCATACCCAGGGTTTCTTGTGGCTTACAACTGGCTCTGCGCTCAGGGAGCACTCCTGGCAGTGGCTGGGGAGCCAGAGATTGATCCTGGGTCTGCCACATACAAGGTGTCTTACCCACAGTACTATCTCTCCAGCCCCTCCATGCACAACTTTAAAAAAATGTTTATGGGCTGGAGTAGTAGTACAGAGGTTAGGGCATTCGCCTTGCATGTGGCCGAACGAGGTTCTATTCTCAGCATCCCATGTGGTCACCTGAGCACTGCCAGGAGTAATTCCTGAGTGCAAAGCCAGGAGTAACTCCTGTGCATCACCGGGTGTGACCCAAAAAGCAAAAAAAAAAGTTTATGACTTATTATCAGTAAATATTCATACATCTAATTTATATATCTGATGTATAGAAATTTCTCAGACAAATGGGGGTTATGATTGGGAAAAATTTAAGAAGCCCTGGTCTAAGTAATGGCTAGGAAATGGAATAAAAGCCCAAAAGCAGGTGAAAACGATACCTGCTTAAATTAAAAGTTGCACAGGGAAGCAATATTCATAGCCAGTGGGTATAACCTTTTATGCCTGGATTGAAAACTACCATTAGGCAACTGAAAGAGCATTTCTCAATGGTTACAACACTAACAGTCCCTGGCATCTTCTTCTCTTTCCCAGCCCCAACTCCAGAGGCCTTGAACCCACTGGTGAGAGAAAGGCTGGACCTCAGACTTACTTTATTTATTTATTTATTTATTTATTTATTTATTATTGGGCCGGAGCAATAGCACAGCGGTAGGGCGTTTGCCTTGCACGCAGCCAACATGGCCGACCTGAGTTCGATTCCTCCGCCCCTCTCGGAAAGCCTGGCAAGTTGCCGAGAGTATCTCGCCCACACAGCAAAGCCTGGCAAGCTCCCCATGACGTATTCGATACATCAAACACAGTAACAAGTGTCACAATGGAGACGTTACTGAACCCCGTGACATTATTATTATTTTAAATGAATCACCACTGTGAGGTATTGTTACAGACTTACAAACTTTCGTGCTTACATTTCAATGATTGAGTACCCATCCCTCCACTAGTGCCCATTCTTCACAACCAGTAATCCCAGTATCCCACCCACCACCCCCACCCCACCCTGCTTCTGTGGCACGGCATTCCCTTTTGCTCGCTCTCTCCCTTTGTGTGTTGTGGTTTACAATAGAGGTATTAAGTGGCCATCATGTTTGGACTATAGTCTACTCTCAGCTCACAACTCCCATCCTGAGTGGGCTCTCCAAACACCCTTTACTTGGTGGTCCCTTCTCTATCCCAGCTGACTCTTCCCCCAGCACGTGAGGCCGGCTTCCAAGCTGTGGAGTAATCCTCCTGGTACTCATCTCTACTATTCTTGGGTGTAAGTCTCCCATTCTGTTACTTTATATTCCACAAATGAGAGCAATCTTTCTATGTCTGTCCCTCTCTTTCTGACTCAATTCACTTAACATGATGCTCTCCATGTTGATCCACTTATATGTAAACTTCATGACTTCATCTTGTATTTCATTGTGTAGATGTACCAAAGTTTTTTTTTCTTTTTTGCCAGTTATGTAATATATATAAGATAGCTTTTTAAAAAAAAAATTTATTAGGCTGGAGCGATAGCACAGCAGTAGGGCATTTGCCTCGCACGTGGCTGGCTCGGCTGACCCAAGTTCGATTCCTCTGCCCTGCTCAGAGAGCCCAGCAAGCTACCAAGAGAGAGTATCTCGCCTGCACTGCAAAGCCTGGCAAGCTCCCTGTGACATATTCGATATGCCAAACACAGTAACAAGTCTCACAATGAAGTTACTGGTCCTGCTTGAGCAAATCGATGAACAACAGGAGGACAGTGCTATTAGTGAATTACCATGAGGTACAGTTACAGACTTACAAATTTTTATGTTTGCATTTCAGTGATACAATGGTCAAGTACCCATCCCTCCACCAGTGCCCATTTTCCACCACAAATGGTCCCAGCATGCCTCCCACCCCCACCCCATCCCCTCCACCCCACCCTGCCTCTTTGACAGGGCGTTCCCTTTTGCTCTCTCTCTCTCCTTTTGGGTGTTGTGGTTTGAAGCAGAGGTATTAAGTGGCCATCATGTTCAGTCTATAGTCTACTTTCAGCCCACATCTCCCACCCTAAGCAGGCCCTCCTAGCACCCTTTACTTGGCGGTCCCTTCTCTATCTGAGCTGCCTTTTCCCTCAGCTTGTATGGCCGGTTTTTAAGTTGTGGAGTAATCCTCCTGGTCCTTATCTCTAATGTTGTTGGGTGTTAGTCTCCCATTCTGTTATTTTTCATTCCACAGATGAATGCAATCTTTCTATGTCTGTCCCTCTCTTTCTGACTCATTTCACTTAACATGATACTTTCCATGTTGATCCACCTATATGCAAATTTCATGACTTCATCTTTTCTAACAGCTACATAGTATTTCATTGTGTAGATGTACCAGTTTCTTTAACCAGTCATCTGTTCTCGGGCACTCGGGTTTTTTCCAGATTCTGCCTATGTAAATAGTGCTGCAATGAACATACAAGTGCAGATGTCATTTCTACTATACTTTTTTGCATCTTCGGGATATATTCCCAGAAGTTGGACCTCAGATTTTAACCAGAGTGCAGAGCCAGGAGTAACCCCTGGTGTGGCCCAGAAGAAAACTGACAGGTGAAGCCAATTTGCTTGTCATTATCCTACAATGCGGGAAGGGTGGTAACTATAGTGACAAAGTCAAAAAGAGTCTGACTCAGGGGGCCAGGGAGATGGCTCAAAGGGCTGGAGTCCATGCCTGACATGTGCTCTGGACTTAATCTCTGGCGCCACATAGCCTCCAGAGCATTGCTGGATATAGCCCTGGTACCCTCCCCTGCCCCCCAGTACCAATGAAGAGCACCCTTCTCAAAAAAGACTCAGGGGCTTTGTAAAGGATAAAAGGGAGGACAGATTCCACAAAGGAGCCACATTTCCTACCAGATCTTGTACCATCAGTATCCCTTGTATCTCTAAAAACAGAGGAGTCAGCAATTATTAGCAGCATTTATTAGACATCTTGTACTCTGAATTCTCTGCTTCCAACTATCCCTTTCGTTATCTTTGCTAGAGATATAGAAGCCATCCATTGTAGGCTTTATTTGTCTTCAAAGCTCATTAGTGCCTGCACTGTAAAGAAACAGACTGTGAGGACTGGAGAGCTCAGAACATTCCAAATGGGCAAACATTTGGGGAAGACTTCACATTTCTGGGGCATGAGGTCGCAACACACACTCTTATTAATCTTTAAATCATACCGTATCAGTCTATAGTCCTTGGTGAGGTTCAGGGGATTCTATGAGGTGATCATACCAAGTGGGTCAGCTGCATGCAAGGCAAGTGCTCTACCTATTATACTGTTTCTCCAGAAACAGATTTGTCATTTATAGTGAAAATTCAAGGGTTGAAATGCCCAAACATTGGATAGTTTCACTCCTGTCTCCCACGTATGTAAGCTACACCAATGTACTTCATTCCTGGTCCCATGACTCCCTAAAGCCATACCTGCAAACTCTTGCAACTGCTTACGCTCCTCTAGGTTATATTGAAGTTTTTCTAGCAGCTCGAAATATCGGAAAAGTGAGTCCCTAGGCCACACAATGGATTCTTCCTGATCCATCTCCATCAGCCCAGGAAGATTCTGGTGGACGTGAGTCTCCCAATCCAAATAACCTATAGAAAGGAATGCTATTTAAATACAGAGACATATTTGTGAAGTTGAGAGAAAGTTGATAAATCCTTTTAAGGAAAAGAGGGGCTGGAGGTGGGTGGACAGAAATGAAAGAAGAGTAGAATGCAGGGAGGAAAGGCTCCAGTACAACAGGCCACTTTTTTTTTAAATAATGTAAGAATCCTGCTATTTGTTCAATCATTGATTAAGCTGATTGAATTGGGCATGAAATCCACATTACCTTTTTTTCTAATTGTATCACCATGAGATAGAGTCACAAAGCTTTCATGTTTGAGATTCAGCCATATGATGGACCATCCATCCCTCCACCAGTGCACATTCTCCACCATCCACATTCTGGTCCTCACCCTGCCTCTATGGCAGACAATTTCCCCTATACTCTCTCTAATTTTGGGCATTATGTTTTGCTCAAAATTTCCCACTACCATTCAAGCCTACCTACCAGGGGCAGATGCTAGATAATTTATTTTCCATTGCTCATTCTGAATAACATGAGAGCTCACATGGCCACGATTATAAATATAAATTTCTAGATTGTAAATGTCTGCGTTCCAGAGTCATCTCTGTATGGCACTACTCCATTTTGGGATTCAATTGGGAGTCTCTGGGCCAGGGCTGTTGGAGTGCTAAGATGGCTCCCAGAGGCAAATTGTGGGCTTGACAGACAATCTACTGGGTGGACGGGGACCCTGGGAAGGGTAGCCTGGGTCCTCTTCTGCTATGTGCCTGGAGATTTAGTCCTGGAACCTGCATGCAGGGGTGGGGAGGGGGGGTTGCTTGTGGAAGCTCTTGGTCACAGGGATTCCATCTGGAGTAGCGGGGAGAGCACACCTGCTCCATCTGGGATGCCCCAGTGAAATTGGTTTGGTATCAGACCCAGAGAGATCTCTGGCACTGCGGTATCTTCTGGGATTTCCTGCTGTGTCTCTGGGCCAGGTTGGTACACTAAGATGGTACTCAGAGGCAAATTGTGGGCATCACAACCAGTCTGCTGGGTGGGTGGGGACCCAGGGAGAGACAGCTCAGGTCCTCTGCCACCATGTGGTCTGATCTGAAGATTCAGTCCTGGAACCCAAATACCTGGGCCTTGCTTGTGGAAGCTCTTGGTCACAGGGATTCCATCTGGAGTAGGTGGAAAGACTGCACCTGCTCCATCTGGGGTGACCCAGTGAAACTGGCCTAGTATACAATAGACCACTTTTCACAGTAAGCAGAAAGAACCACAGATGCACTTACCCAAAGTGAAGCAGAAGTACAGGGGAAATGAAGAAGTAGAAAGAAAGTACTAAGAACCTGAGAGAGAGCATAGGGAGCTAGGGTGCCAGTTTGATGCCCAGTACTTCTGGTCCCCTAAGCCCTGCTGGGACTGCATACTGTCTGACTAGGATGATCAAGTTTGCTAGGGGGGGACCCCAGATCTCTAGAGCACTGCTTTAGAGCTCTCTCCCCCACCAAAAGAACAGAAAATCAGAGTGGGGAATAGATACTTTTTTTTTCAGTGTTGGGGGGATTTGGTATTTTGGTAGTTTTTATATACCAAAAGCAAAAATAGTGAAGTGAAAAACAAAATATAATTGTGAAGATTATTGTGAACTATATTACCTCAATAATCACAATCACAATCACAAATCATCCTGTTATTCGTCGATTGCCTCGAGCAGGCCCCAGTAACGTCTCCTTCATCCTAGCCCTGAGATTATATTCAAGGCTCTTTAGGAGAATGAGACCCATCATTGTTACTGGTATTTGGCATATTTGGTACGCCACGGGGAGTTTGCCGGACTCTGCCGTGTGGGCAGGCTACATTCGGTAGCCTGCCAGTTTGTCCAAAGTAGGAATGAGATAATAAGATGTCATAATAAGATGTCACAAGGCCGCGAATGCAGCTGCGCGGTTCCGGGAGCTGGTTTTTTACAGTCTCTGAGTCTTGGCCGCTGATGGGATTACACGGCGCCAGGGGGCCAGTTGGTGGGTGTGACCCCCGCCTACTGGCATTTGGAGGATCTGGGTGGAGGATGCTCGGCCCCAATCCGAGTAGGCTTGGAGATCTCGGCCCCGGAACCCGCGTGGCTTTGTCCCTCTGCCAGTACCTTCATGTGTGCGCACACCTCGATAATAAAAGTTTGAAAAAATTCTATAATCTCAAGTCACTGTCACTGTCACTGTCCTCCTGTTGTTCATCGATTTGCTCAAGCAGACCCAGTAACATCTCCATTGTGACAACTGTTACTATGTTTGGCATATCAAATACACCACAGGGAGCTTTCCAGGCTTTACAGTGCGGGCAAGATACTCTTGGTAGCTTGCCTGGCTCTGAGAGGGGCGGAGAACTCTAATCAATACAACCGCCATGTTTGCCGCTTGTAAGGCAAATGCTCTACCTGCTGTGTTATCACTCCAGTCCATAATCTCAAGAATAAAGATTAATTTATTCTTAGACAGGGATGTGACTCAGTGGTAGAGCTCCTGGCTGTATATGTGATGTTCTGGATTTGACAGGGATAGCTTATAAAGAGGAGTCTGTCTGCATTCAAATAGAATAAAACTAGGACTGGAGAGATAGTACAGCAGGTAAGGTGTTTGCCTTGCATGCTCCTGGCCAAGGTTTGATCCCCGGAAAACCACCAGAAGTAATTCCTGAGTGCAGAGTCAGGAATAACCCTTAAAGATCGCTGGGTGTGACCTACTCCCCCCCCCATAAAAATAAATAAACAAGTAAAATAAAACCTCTGCTTACCAGGAGTGTCAAATTGTATGGAGTCATCAGAGGAAACAGGAGAACGGAAAGATCCTGAGGGAGTTAAAGATGCAGACCTTTTTATATTTTGCTTGATTTCTTTTGAGGCTGTCATAGAACTGGAACTATCTCTATTGTCAGTGTCTGTGTACGTTTTCACTTCTACTGTGGACAAAGTTCCCTCTTGTTGACTGACTCTATAAATGAAAGGGAAAATCTGATTGCTTCAACTGCAATTATAAGTCATAACTAGTGTTTCCTTTACTCATCATCCCCCAGAACTGAGACTTAAGGTAATGAAAGCCAAACTACTTCCAAAGTCGGAGCAAACTCCTCAATCATCCCTTGCCCTTACCATACACCTTTTGGGCTGTTTTACTCAGTCTTCCACATTCCATAATCGTATTGATTTTTCCAACTGCCATTCCCCGCTCTGTGGTCCTGTGTCAATCATAATATAACTCTAGCCTTTGCCTTTCATCTCAGTTTAGGCCTGCTAATCTTTCCCAGATATAGCCATCCTTTGATGGACCCATCTCTGAGTTTAAATGTCTGCCTTCTCCCAAAATGAAACCTGTCATTCAGAACTTACTCCTCAACTCATATTTGCAGATACAAATGTTTCCAATTTATCATAACTTGAATGTCTACTGGACTTTTTGGAGGCTGGGCCACACTCTGCAGTGCTCAGGGCTTACTTACTCCTAGCACTCTGCTCAGGGATCACTCCTGGCAAGGTTATGGGACCATATGGGATGACGAGGATCAAACCTGTATATGTGATATCCTGGATTTGACAGGGATAGCTTATAAAGAGGAGCCTGTCTGCAATGCAAGTGCCCTACTGATGAACTGTCTCTCCAGCCACTTAAAGTTTTTTTTTTTTGGTGGGGGAGGAGGGAGAGAGAGAGGAAGGTAGTGTATACTGTGCCAAGGATAGAATCTGGGTTGGTCACATGCAGAGCAAGCATCCTACCCACTGCACTATGGCTCTGGTCCCCTATCTTTAATTTCTTGAGGAAACTCCATACATTTCCCAAAATGGCTGCCCTAATTTGTATTCTCACCAACAGTGCATGAGGTCCTTTTTCTCCACAACCTAACACTTGTTATTACTGCTGCTGTGAAGTAAGTTTTTCTCAAAGGTGTTAGCTCATTGTGGTCTAATTGCATTTCCTGCATGATCACTGTTAATGAGCATTAATGAGCATTTTTCATATTCTGTCCACAGCTATAAGTATGTCCTCTTTGGTGAAGTGCTTATTAAAATATCCTTCCCTTTTCTGATGGGTGGTTTTCGTTGTTATTGTCATTACATTGCGTGAGGCCTGTTTTGTTTGTTGTTGTTGTTTTGTTTTGGGGCCACACTTGGCGGTACTAGAGTTTACTCCTGGCTCTGCACTCAAGAGTCACTATCCTACCATGCTCAAGGGACCACCTGGGATGCCATGGAATTGAACCCAGGTCTGGGAGGTGCAAGGCAAGCATCCTATCCACTTGTACCATCTCTCCAGTCCAAGTTGCATGACTTCGTAATGAACCTTAGATATTAACCCCTTACTGGGGCCAGTCACATCCAAGCAAACTACCCTAACTCCTGTACTATCATTTTGGCCTTGTTTGTTTTTTGTTTTGGAGTCACAACTGGTGATGCTTAGGGAGAAGGTGGTGCCAGGAATTGAACCTTGACCTCTTCAGTAGGATGCTTGTTCAACCTGTTTATATTTTCTTTGATATACAGAAGTTTTTCACATTTTTTTTGCTTTATGGGTTACACCTGGCTATGCACAGGGGTTACTCCTGGCTCTGCACTCAGGAATTACCCCTGACGGTGCTCAGGGGACCATATGGGAATCGAACTGGGAATCGAACCCGGGTTGGCCACGTGCAAGGCAAACACCTTACCCGCTGTGCTATTGCTCCAGCCCCAGTTTTTCACATTTAATGCAAACCCAATTGTTTGATTTTTCTTACTGTTGTGGAGTCATCCAAAGCATGTATCCAATTTATCCAGAAAGCCTTTACTTTGTACATCATTTTCTTCCGATTGAGCTCTTTCCACTTTGTTGTGAATTGCAAATTTTCATATTTTTATTGCTGAAAATCATTTCATTGTTGGGCAAAGAGATGGCTCAATGAGCTGAAACAGTTTAGTGGCTTGGGCACATGCTTTGGATACAAGACTCCACAGTACTGGATATTTCCATAAGTACCATTGGAGTGGCCCAAAGATCAAAAGGAAAGCCAGTTAATATATATAATATATATATGTATGTGTGTATATCACTGTCACTGTCCTCTCATTGTTCATCAATTTGCTCTAGTGGGCCCAGTAATGTCTCCATTGTGAGAATTGTTACTGTGTTTGGCATTCGAATACGTCATGGGCAGCTTGCCAGGCTTTGCCATGCGGGCGAGATACTCTCGGTAGCTTGCTGGGCTGTCCGAGAGGGGCGGAGGAATCAAAACTGGGTCAGCCAGGTTGGCTGTGTGCAAGGCAAAAGCCCTACCTGCTGTGCTATCGCTCTAGCCCGTGTGTGTGTGTGTGTGTGTGTGTTTGTGTGTGTATATCCCCCACTGTACTGCTGGTACCACTCTGGCCTGAATCACTATCTTATTTAGTCTGGATAGCCTGATAATTTCTCTCTGCTCCTTCCTTTACTCATCTACAGTCTGTCATCAACGTAGCACTCAGAGTAATCCATCAACATAGCACCTAGAGTAATCCATGCGCATGTGTGTGTTTGTGTGTGTATGTGATGTGTACTGGAAATAAAATTCAAGGCCTCACACAAGTGTGTGAGATATATGCTTTGCTACTGAGTCACCTCACGGGCCCTAGAGTAATTCTTCATATCACTTCTCTGTTCTGTCCTCCATTTCACCCGGAGTTAGAGCCTAAGTCTCTAGAATGGCCTCCACAGAAGTACCAGATCAGGTTGCCACTATCGCTCTGACCTCATTTCCTATCTGTCTTCTCTCTGCTCACTTTGCTCAAGTCATAATGGTTTCCTTGCTGCCTCTCAAATACAATATACATGCTTCTGGCACACAACTTTTATATTAGCTTCTCTGCTGACTCTGTTAGAAACACTTTCTGTAGATATTCACAAAAAAATCCACTTACATTCTTCAAATCCTAGCTCAATTTTTTTGGGGGAATGGGGTTTGGGCCACACTGATAAGTGCTGGGGGGTCATTCCTGGTGGTGCTCAGAGGACCATATGCAACACCAGTGATCATACCAAGGTCACTAGTATCAAGGTAAGTACCTTCATCTCTGTTAACCTCTAGCCTCTTTAGCTCATATATTGTCTTTATAATGAGGCCATCCTGAATACCGTGTTTAAAATTGCAACCCATCTGCAGTCCCTCCCTACTCTCCAATATATTTTAACCTACTCAACCTTCTTTTCCATAATGTCTATTGTATGTTATCATATTATTTTAAATGTCCATCACTTTCCCCTTAAAAGTACATAAGCTGCATGAGACCTTGGTTTTTGTCTCTTTTATTCATTGATAGAACATTTAATTTCTAGAACAGCATCTGTTTCAGAGACAGTACTTGTATTAGTTTCCTGTGATTATTCTAACAAATGACCGCAAACTTGGAAGCATAAAACAAGAGAAATGTATTTTCTCAGATTTCTGTAAGCCAGAGTCTGAAATCACAGTGTCAGTAGCAATGCATGGCCTCTTGGAGCTCTAGAAAGTTCTGGGTTTCTTTGAGCTTCTGGCAGTGAGCATATATTCATGAGCTGCCTTTGGCTCTGACTGCATTACTCCTATCTTATCTCCATCTTCACATTGCCTTCTCCAGTTTTCAAAGTCTAAATCTTCTCTTCTGTCCTTTAAAAGGACATGTGGATACTCTAGGAATGATCACATCTCAAGATCCGTAACTATCTCTACAAGCCCAAGTTCTCCTGTGAGCACATATCTCACTTGCTTATGAGAAGACGTATCTCTTTTTGCTTTATCTATTCTGGAGAAGCCCTTGTCCTCCTCTTTTGAACGTGTACTACCTCTCTTTCTCTCCCCTCACATCTTCCTAAGTAAGTTAAATAAGAAACTACCCTGATTCGCTGGAGAAAAAAAATACTTAACTTTATTCCAGGCCCTTTTTTAAACTAAGGTCAAATTAATAGTCCCCAGGGGATTAGGAAAAAGACACACCATTCAATTCAGTACAAAAACTACTGAATGAATTATCTTTAGTTTTATACCCTCTTCTTCATGTATGTACACCCTAGTTCACATATCAACACTCCAAACCTGGCATCCAATTTGCTGGTAATTGATCTCAACCCATCAGGGGCCAGATTTTGTCTCCTATAAAGCAAAAATAAAAAGCATATAGATAGTTACTTACATTGAAGCAGTAGTGTAGTAAGGAGGGGGAAAGAGATATCAGAAAATTAAGAAACTCCCAAAATGAATTCATTCAAAGTGGGTTCAATATTAAGGAGCTGAAATAGGAAATGACATTCCCCAAGTGAAAAGAGGGCAACAATTATGGCTCCATAGTTGAGGCCCAGGTATAATTCCCAACACTAGCATTATATCACCCCACCACCACCACCACCCAAGACCCACTGCTGGATCTGAACACTGCAGGCAGTGGCCCCAACAACAATAACCAAAACTATTTTCATTTTTTAATTTTAAATTTTTGGTTTTAGGGCCTCGCCCTGCTGTGCTTAGGGCTTACTCCTGGCTCTGCACTCAGGAGTCACTCCTGCCAGGGATCAGGGGACCATATGAGGTGCTGGGAAATGAACTCGAGTTAGACACATACAAGACAAGCTCTTTACCTACTTTACTGTCTCTCCAGCCCTCTCAAATATTTTTTAAAATAAAGATATTCCATACCCGTAGATTGGGAAAAAGTAACATTGCTTTGGGGGTATTGTTTTGTTTTGTTTGGGGGCCATACCTGGCAATGCTCAGGAGTTACTCCTGGCTCTGTACTCAGGAACTATTCCTGACAAGCTTGGGGACCAAATGGGATGCCAGGGATTGAACTAAATAGGCCACATGCAAGGCTAGTACTTTTTCTATCTCTCTGGCCCAGAAATAACATTGTTAAGATGAGCATTTTTAGCCTGCCTCATGAGCTGGGAGAGAAGGCAGCTGGGATAGAGAAAGAATCACTAAGTCAATGATGGTTGGAGGGATTACATGGGATGGCAGATGTGTGCTGAATGTAAATAAAGGACCAAACATGATGACCTCTCAGTATCTGTACTGCAAACCATAATGCCCAAAAGTAGAGAGAGAGTAGGAAGGAAACTGTCTGCCATAGAGGCAGGGGGTGGGGTGGAGGTGGCGGGAGAGATACTGGGGATATATCAGTGGTGGAAAATGTACGAAAATGTACACTGGTGGAGGGATGGGTGTTCGATCATTGTATGACTGAAACTCAATCATGAAATCTTTGTAAACTGTATCTCACAGTGATTCAATAATAATTAAAAAATTGTGACCATCCCATCCAAAGTAATTTACAGATTCAATGCAATTTTATCAAAATTCTTCAATAAAATAAAATAGACATCGCTGAAATTCATATGAAACCACAAAGACCTTGAATAATTAAAGCAATTCCGAGGGAAGAAAAAAGGGTAAGACAGCATATTCTCTGACTTTAAACTATACTACAAAACCATAGTGATAAAAGCAGTATGATATTGAAACAAGAACAGACACATGAATCAATGGAATAGAATTGGAAACCTAGAAATAAATTCACACATATATGGACATTTAATTTATGACAAAGGGGTCAAGATATACAATGGAGAAATGAAAATATCAAATGGTGCTGGAAAACTGGATACCCACTTGCAGAAGAATGAAACTAGGACACTATCTCACACCATACACAAAAAATAATTCAAAATGGGTAAAAGACTTGGCTGGAAGATGTGAAACTATATATAGAGGAAACATGCAGAAGAATTCATGATATTGGCTTCAGCAATGTCTCTGGGGACTCAAATCCAACATAGTAAGGGGCTTACAATGACTGCTTTTTGTTGGTTTTTTTCTTTTTGAGTCACACCCGGTGATGCACAGGGGTTACTCCTGGTTCATGCACTCAGGTATTACTCCTGGTAGTGCTCAGGGGACTATATGGGATGCTGGGAATCAAACCTGGGTTGGCCGCGTGCAAGGCAAATGCCCTAACCACTGTGCTATCACTCCAGCCCCCACAATGACTGTTTTGTAAGCATGTGGTCAAGTGATAAATCTCCAGTATCTCATATGCACCACGCATGATTCTGGGGACTCTGTTGTGTGAGCCTAGTGTTCAGCTGTGATCGCCAGAGTCATGGGTAATTTGCAGGGTAAGACAGCATGTTCGCGTATAACTGCCACAAAAAAGGGGCACGAGCCCTGATAAGCACCACAACTAAAAAGATGTGTGAGAGACAGTCAGGAAGTGAAACCTCTGAATAGCATGTTCATAAGTTCTGAATCAACGCCCTGTGAGCACTAGCACCATTAATTGTATGCCTCAACTAAAACTGTTAGCCCAGATAAACACCATGACTAAATGAGTATAAAACTCAGCACCATGGCCAAGTGTGTGAGCACCACAAGTTGAGGTGTGACCCTCAGGAAGAACCACAGCTAAAAACTTTATTAGTGCCAGAGATGAGAGAGAAGGCATCTACTGGTGGTGGCAGGGAGAACTATTCCTGGCAGTGCTCAGGGGCCAAACAAAATAAGAGAAAGGCCAATACCAAAAATGCAAATGCTCGGGGGCCGGAGTGATAGCACAACGGATAGGCCGTCTGCCTGGCATGCGGCCGACCCAGGTTCAATCCTCTGCATCCTATATGGTCCCCTAGCACCGCCAGGAGTAATTCCTGAATGAAGATCCAGGGGTAATCCCTGAGCATCGCTGGGTGAGACCTAAAAAAGAAAAAAAAAAAGCAAATGCTCTCCTTTACATCACATGAACTATACAGAAACAAGGCAACAGAACAGGTAAAACCAATCTAAACCAATCCTTGAATTCAAACCTTGGAGCTGAGACTGCTGGAGGTGACACAGGTGATGGGGGGACGGGGAGGGGGAGGGGGGAAGGCAATGTGCGGGGAGGGTTGGAAGGGGCTCAGTGGATGGTGGTGATTTCTGCACTTTGATGGGGGCACTTTAACAACTTGCTTTTGAAAATGTGTGAAAAAGCACTCCTGAAACATACAATTATGTACACTGATATTACCCCATTAATAAAATACAATAATTAAAAATTTAAAAATAAAAGTGGAAATGAGGCCAAGAAATGCAAGCGAACTAAAGCTGGGTTTGAACGTGGGGATCTGACCTCTGAATAATCTGCTGCTTGAATAAGTCAGCTTTCTGTTGAACCTCCAGATGTACCATCTCCTCGTTCAGCTCATTCCTGATATTCTGGAAGTTAGTAACTGCCCCAAAGGGCATTAGGAGTTAGGAGATGGTGGTGACTAGACCTGAGGAGAGGGCTCGGGTGGGGAGAAACCAAGTGAAATATCTATTCAAGCCCCAAACTTCCCTACTAAATCAGGTTCTCTCTATCCATAATCACCAAACTTAGCTTTCACACTAATTTCTTTGCAGTCACACCTCCCATCAAGTCTCACCTCTTCTACAGATGCTTACCCATCATTGCCACAATGATATTTCGGAAGATAATGGAACCAAGTAATAACCAAAGGATGACATAGATGCTGGAGAAAAAGCGGCTGACTTCAGGGACTTTCCAGGTATCTTGTAGAAATGCATACCAATGATCCAAAGTGAAAAGAATGAACACTGTCACTAGGGAATTCAGCACATTCCTATAAAGAAAAAAGAAGTGTGCCTATGGAGTGAAGAGATCTGAACTTCTCAGAAACAATAGCATTTTTTTTTCCTTTTGGGTCACACCTGGCAATGGATAGGGGATACTCCTGGCTCTGCACTCAGAAATTACTCCTTCTGGTGCTTGAGGGACCATATGGGATTCTGGGAATCGAACCCAGGTCAGCCATGTGCAAAGCCAATGCCCTACCCACTGTACTACGCTCCAGCCCCATTCTAACACTTAAAATAATATAAAAATATTTCTTTGTAATTTCTTCTGATTTGAATTCCTTTTCTACAAAACTCATTTTTTCAGCTAATCATTCTTCAATTTCAGATTAGTTTTATTTGGTTTTATCATAAAAAACTATGAATATTTCCTACTATTCCACCCAAAACCAACACTGCATAGGTAGTGACTAAATTGGAAAAAAATTGAATCACCACCTATGTTTGTTTTAGGGCCCCCCCACCGGCAGTGATCAGGGTTTATTTCCAGCAGTACTCAGGGGACCATGTGTGGTGCTGGAGTTAAACTGGGTTCACTGCATCCAGGGCAAGCACTGTACTTTCTCCGGCCCCACAATAATAAAAATAAACAAAAAATGCTAGTTGAATAGAACTGAGAGGTGCTTTAGTGTCGCTGGCTGGCAGTGGGGTAGGGGGTAATGGGAAAGAAAATGGGGACACTGATGCTGGGAAATGTAGACTGGTGGAAGGATGGGTGTTGGAACACTGTATGACAGAAATCTAATCATGAACAGCTTTGTAAGGGTCTATCTCCCAGTGATTCAATTTTTTAAAAAAAGAAATTAGAGTGTATTTTCCTTGTGTATATATTAAACAGATTTTATCACTTAGAATGTGTTAAAAATCTGTGCTCAATGCTAATATTCATTAACTCATTTCCTCTCACATTCTTACAAGTTAGTACTACAAGTATTCTAATTTTTTCCAAAAGAGGTAACTTATACATAGGCTAAGTCTTAACTGCTAGAATCCTGCTACTTAAATACTGTCAAAGAGGGTGTGTTTGAATTTACAAATCCCAGAGCAAACCTGGAATAGTTGTCTATACTCGGGGCTGGAGCAACAGGACAGCAGGTAGGTCATTTGCCTTGCACTCGGCCAAATCGGGTTCAATTCTCTGGCATCCCATATTCCTGATCACTGCCAGGAGTAATTCTGGAGTGCAGAGCCAGGATTAAGCCCTGAGCATTGCCAACTGTGACCCAAAAGGCAAAAGGAAAAAAAAAAGTTGCCTGTCCTCAAAATCAGGGCTAAAACCACTTACTTTGTTTTCTCTTTCTTCTGTGTTATTTCAGTTTCTTACATACACTCTATTTTTGTATTACTAGTCATTGAACTAGCTTCCTAATCTCTTGCCCAATTTCTCTCCCCCATCCAGGTTTCCCCAAACCCTGCTTACGAGAAGTAAGTGTGATACTTCAGGTTCATAAGAGTTGAACGGGTGTAATTCTCGAAGACGTAGACACCAGCCACAGCAAAAATGTAGAAGAACATGAGCAGCAACATCAAGAGGAAGGTCATGCTCTAGAGGCATGACCTGAAGTCAGAGAAGGGCCAAACTAAGCTGACGTCCACCCGCAGCTCAGTCTAGCCCATCAGGTTGACCCCCACCAAACCCTCATATCTTCCTGAGTCAGATCTATAGATCACATAAGCTTGTCCTTGATACGTCCTCATGCGATCACATTTCACAGAGTTTCTTACTGCTTTCTCTGACCCACCTATCTTGCTTTATATCAAACCCTGATGTTCATCCACTTTGTCTACCCAGTTAGCAGTAAAAGTCAAATCACCTTAAGGGCCCGGACAAGGGCCAAAATAATGACGCGAATTTGAGGGAACTTTGCAAGGAACTTGAGGGACCTTAGCACCCGGCAGATCCTCAGCAACTGCAGCCACACAGGCTGACCTGTTACCTCTTCAAACACAATCACTTCAGGAAGCACGGCCTGGGGAAAATACGCACTTTGTGAGTAAGAGAGAGTACGATACTGCAAAGAAGCCCACACTGTTCTTATTTTCTTCATAGTTCCTTCTTTTTGGGGAGAGAGGGGAAACCGCATTGTTCAAGTGTGGCAGTGTTCAAGGCTTACTCCTTGCTCTGTGCTCAGGAATCTTTCCTGGTGGAACTGGGAGGACCCTATGGGGTGCTAGGGATCTAACCTGGGTCAGTTGTGTGCGAAGCAAGCACTGTACTTGCTGTACTATTGCTCCAACCCCCTCTATCTACTTCCATGGGGCTTACATCCTAATAAGCTTTCTATGGAAATTGTTTCCTATTCAAACTTTTTCTTTTCTTTTGGTGAAGAAATGGTGTATTGAAACTTTCTTAAGAGAAATATTAGGGAAGAGAGAGAGAGATTGAGATTTAAGGGCGAACACAGGCTTCTCCACCAGGTGAAAAGCATATCCAGGCTTTCTATATTAAATTATATAAACTACTTGCTCGATATAATAAGGGATAAATAGGGCCAGAGAGTTAGTACAGTGGGTAGGGCACCTGCCTTGCATAAGGCCAACTCAAGATTCCCCAGTACCCCGGTACCCCCTAGGCTGCCAGGGAGTAATTCCTGATGCAGAGCCATGAATTAGCCATAAGCACAGCAGGTGTGGCCCCAAAACCAAAGGGGGAAAGTAAAGAGATGGGGGGGAATAAATATAATGCTTATCGGACTGCTCTGAAACTCAAATGAGAAAACATATATGAAACACTTGGAACATGCCTGGCACCACATAAGTACCGAGAAACTGGTAGGAATTATTGTTGGTAGTCAATGCTGTGGTTAGAATCTTCCATGATATTAGTTATCAACAGTTCTTGTAAGAGTTAATTGGCTTTAGGAACTGGAGCGACTGTACAGCAGGTAGAGTGTTTACCTTGCATGCAGCTGACCCAGGTTAGAATCCCAGGATCCCATACGGCCCCAAGCACTTCCAGGAGTAATTCCTGAGTGCAGAGCCAGGAGTAACCCTTGAGGACTGCTGGGTGTGATTCAAAAAGACCAAAAAAAAAAAAGAATTAACTACTTTTTTCCACTCCAGCCATACCTGACAGTGGGCAGGTTCTACTCCTTGTACTTAGGATCTGCACCCAGCACACTGTTACTCCTGGCAGTACGCAGGGAATATGCAGTGTCAGGGATCAAACTCCAACTTCTTAAGGCAAAGCATGCGCAGTAGTCCACTGATCTATGTCTCCAGTCCATAATACTCTATTCTTTTTTGTTCGCAATGCCAGAGATGGAATTCTCTGGTCTCATGCAAGCAATGCATACAGGGTAAGTGATTGCTGTTGAGCCACATCCCAGGCCCACAATTAACTTTTAATTTAAGACCAAAAAAAATCAAAATAGGAAAGTTAGGCACATTTCTTTTGTTTCTTCCTATGATAGAAAGCTTATATTAACTTTTCTTATCATTTGGGGCACATTCCTCAATCCACTAAACTAATCCTTAGGATATCTATCCTTACCAACACAGTGACAATAAAGTCAAAGACATTCCAGGTATTCTTCCAGAATAGGGTAAAGCTGAATAGCCACATAATAATGATCTCCAAGAGGAAAGCAAGCAAGATGAACCAAGCTGCAGACTCCAGAGCCAGTTTGACTTGCCACAATGTTTCATCTGGGTCTTCTAGCAGTTCTGTGAGAGCAAAGGATTAACAAAGTTTAAGGGAGTAGGAAAACTAATCAGAAACCGCTGTAAATCACAGTTGTGCCCACGACCATTCCACTTGGAGTCTCGGGGCTGCTGTTCATGAAGCTCAGAGGTAGAGAATGATCTTGCATGTGTGAGGCCCTGGGTTCTATCCCTGGCACTGAAAAAAAAAAAACAAATAAAAACTTGGTCCTATTCTTCAGTGTTTCCTCTAGCACTTTCATCCTATGTATGTAGGATAGGACAGGATTGAGCAAATCGTGACTCATCTCAGGCTGCCTTTCCACTCTGGAGTCAAAGTCATCACTGGACTGCTCTCACCCACCATCAGCCCTGCTTCCTGTACTACTAAAGGTGCCTGGAGCCATAGTATAGCAGGTTAGGCCCTTGCCTTGCATGAAGCTGACACAGGTCAATCCCCAGAAGCACATATGGTCCCCCAGTCCCAACCAGGAGTGGTCCTGAGCACAGAGCCAGGAGTAAACTATAAGCATTGTTGTGTGTCACCCCCACCAAAAAGAAAGAGCCAGAACGGGGAGGGTGTTTGCCTTGCACGCAGCTGGCCTCGGTTCAATTCCCGGTATCCCATATGGTTCCCCAAACACAGCCAGGAGTAATTCCTGAGTGCAGATCCAGGAGTAAGCCCTAAGCATCACTAGGTGTGACCCAAAAAGAAAAAAAAAAGAAAAATTATATTACTATCTCTGTACCAAATTATAAGAAAGTAATAAACCTTGAGAATAGAATTAAAATATAGGTCCTTGGGAGCAGGAGCGATAGTACAATGGGTAGGGCGTTTGCCTTGCACATGGCCAACCTGGGTTCCATTCCCGGTATCCTATATGGTCCCCAGAGCACAACCAGAAGTAATCCCTGAGTGCAGAGCAAGGAGTAACCCCTGTGCATTGCTGGGTGTGACCCAAAAAGACCAAAAAAATAATAACAATAAAGTAAAAATACAGGCCTATGATATATGAAATGTTTTAAAGATTTAAAATTAAAGAAGGAGTTGAGCTCATGGAATATATTAAGCTATAATAAGAAATTACTTCGTTGCTAGCTTTTAAAGTTTTTTCTTCTCTGCCTTAAAATGACTTTGGTTTTCAAACAAAATATTTACTTCCTCTCTTGAGCTCTAGTAAATGTTATTTGGGGCCTGAGAGTTAATACAATGGGCAGGGCATTTGCTTCGAATGTGGCTGACCTGGGTTTGATCACCAGTATTCCACATGGTCCCACGAACACACCAGGAGCCAAGAGTAAGCCTTGACCCTCACCAGGTGTGCCCCCACCCCCACATTTTTGTTATTTATGTATTAGCTCTTTTTTCTTAGGAAGTGCTCCCAGTGATGCTCAGGGTTTACTCCTGGCTCTGCATTCAGAAATCACTCCTGGTGGTGCTCAGGGGACCATATGGATGCTGGGGATAAAAACTGGGTCAGGACTTGCAAGATAAGTGCCTTACCATCTGTACTATCGCTCCAGCTCTAAAAAATATATATTTTAAATTTAACTCATTGCCTTTATCTTTCACTTCTCTTATTTATTATTATTTTTAAAGAATTGTGTGCTTGGGTTACAGAGATAATATAAGGGCTATAAAGGGATTGCCTTGAATGCAGCCAACCCTGGTTTGATTCCAGTGCCTCATATAGTCCCCAGAGTACAGTCAGGAGTGATCCCTGAGCACAGAGCCAGGAATAAGTCCTGAGCACAGCCAATGTGGCCCAACCTGCCCCTCCCCTCTCAAAAAAAAAAAAAAAAACCTGTGCACTAAATTTTGTTAAAATTTTTGTTTGGAGGCCATACTCAGTAGTACTTAGGGTTTATTCCTGTCTCTATGCATAGGGGTCACTCCTGGCAGTGCTCAGAGAAGTATGCAGTGCGGGGAATCAAATCTGGTCTCCTGCATGTAAAGCATGTACTCCAGCCCATTAAGCTCTCTCTCACCCAGGATCATTGTTGAAAATCAATGAAATGTACCAGTTTAGCAGATGATTTTTCTTTCTTAGCAATATATATAAGGAGAATTTTACTATAGATGACAACTTAGATTCAGTAAAATTCAGGATCTAGAGAGATAGTACAGAGATTAAGGTGCTTGCCTTACACATGGCAATCCCAGTTCAATCCCAGGCACTGCACATGGTTCCTCAAGCACCAGTGGAAGTGATCCGTGAGCACAGAATTAGGAGCAAGCCCTGAGCAGTGCTTGGTGAGGTCCCCAAACAAACCAACAAACAAAAGCAATAAAATTCAATATTTTTTCAATAAAAATAGCCTGGAATCTAAGAAGAATGGGGTTATACTAGTAAAAGGAACTGAGGACCACATTTACAGATGGAAAATAGAGTACTGTAATTTTTATTTAGTTTTGCCTTTAAAACAGGTGTTTGGGCCATAGAGATAGCTTGAGGAACATATACATATACATGTTTTGTATATGGAAGGCCTGAGTTCGATCTTTGGTACCTGTGGTCATCCACGAATGGCCAAAAAGCCAGTCAGCCAGCCAGCAAAAGAGTACATCCTGAGTACCGACAGGACAAAATAGAAAAGTAGGGCCTGGATCTTGCTGGTGGAGCATGGGCACGGGTAGAGGGATGGATGGGTACTCACTCATGGGTCATGGTCTGACAGACATGTGAGCACGAAAGTTTGTCAGTCTATCCCTGTGCCTCACGGTGATCCATGACCCCTATATTACCACTGGTGTCATCTCTCCATGACCCCCACGCCTTCCCCCCAAAAAAGAAAAACAGGGTTTTAAAGATGATAAAGTAGTCTGAAAGGTCTTAAAGGAGAGTATATTGGGAGCAGAGTGATAGTACAGTGGGTAGGGCATTAACCTTGTGTGTGGCTTACCTCGGTTTGATCCCCTGGCCTCCTATAAGGTCCCCCAAGCACTACTGTCAGGAGTAATTCAGAGTACAGGGCCAGGAGTAACCTCTGAACATCACCAGGTCTGACCAAAAAAAAAAAAAAAAGAAAGAAAAAAAGAAAAAAGTAAAAGAGTATATATGAAAAAAGAAAAATAGGGAAGCCCAAATTGTGGAAGAAAAAGCATTTTCACTCTTTGGGGGAAGGGATACTTTTATAGGAGCTAAATGCTTGAGCGGGCCCAGTAACGTCTCCATTTTGAGACTTGTTACTGTGTTTGGCATATTGAATACATCATGGATAGTTTGCCAGTGCAGGCGAGATACTCTTGGTAGCTTGCTGGGCTCTCTGAGAGGGGCTGAGGAATCAAACTCAGGTTGGCGGGGCTGGCTTTGGGCAAGGCAAATGCCCTACCGCTGTGCTATTGCTCCAGCCCAGGAGCTAAATGAACCTAGGTAAATTAACAAAGTAGAAATTATCTTACCAGAACAAAATGTTCAAAATCAATTGCTTCCAATTCTATATTAATTGATGAAAATGTGTATGTACTACCTGGAAGTTGAAAGATAACTTTTTGGAGTTTTTTGGTGGGGGGGCCACAGCTGTAGGTGCTCAAGGGTTACTTTTCACTTGCTGCTCTGAGACTCTCCTGGCAGTGCTCTGGGGACCATGCATTACTCTAGATTGAATTAGGCCTTCAGCATATAAACCATGCAGACTAGCCCTCTATGCTATCTCCCTGACCCTAAAAGATAACTTTTAAAATACTTGGAATTGGGGCTGGAGCAATAGTATAGCGGGTAGGGCATTTGCCTTGCATGTGGCCGACCCGGGTTCGATTCCCAGCATCCCATATGGTCCCCCAAGCACCGCCACCAGGAGTAATTCCTGAGTGCAGGACCAGGAATAATCCCTGCCCATCACTGGGTTTGACCCAAAAAGAAAAAAAAAAGCTTGGAATTCCTGGCATTAGGAAAGTATTTTAGGACTACAGCACTTGTCCTGCACAAATGAAACCCTGGAAAAACAGATCAACTTCTGGAAAAACACATATGCATTCCTTTTCAATTTTTTCACTTAAAAAAATAGGGGACACGCCAGCCATGCTTCTATTTTTTGGGGGGCGGGGGAAGGGCACAACTGTGGTGCTCAGGGTTTACTCCTGGCTTTGCACTCAGGGATCACCCTTGATGGGTTTGGAGGACCCGATTTGGAAGGCAGGCATACCTTATCTTCTGTGCCATCACTCCAGCCAGAACTCAAGGCTCTGTACTTGTTAGGCATATGCCTTACCACTTGAACTGTCTCCCTGATCCAAATTCTTGGAATTCCTGGGGTCTGGGATGTAGCTCACTGGTTTTCTTCTTCTTCTTCTTTTTAATTGAATCATGAGATAGTTACAAATGTTCGAGACTCAGCTGTACAATGATCGAACACCCATCCCTCCACCAGTGCATACCTTCCACCACCAGTGTCCCCAGTATATGCCCCCTGCACCCCACATCTCAGTCCTCACCCTGCCTCCATGACAGGCATTTTCTCCAATACTCTCTCTCTCTACAAAAGTACATTACATTTTGCTCAAATTTTCCCACCACCATTCACGCCTGCCTTCGAGGGGCCGATGCTAGATCATTTATTTTCCATTGCTCATTTTGAATATCTTGGGTGCCGTGGCCACGCGCTTCTGGAATCCTAGATTGTAAGTGGTTGGGTTCCAGAGACACTTCTGTAGGGTACTAATCAATTTGGGGATTCATTTGGGCATTTCTGGATCAGGGCTGTCAGTGTCCTAAGATGGCGCCCGAAGTCACATTGTAGGGATGTCAGCCAGGCTGAGGAGCGGGTGGGGAGCCAGGGAGGGACAGCCTGGGGCCTCTGCTGCCATGTGGCATGGAGATTTAGTCCTGGAACCAGCATACCAGATAACCTGTTTGAAATTAGGCTGTCAGTTTCCAGATGTTTTGCATCTATAAAGTGATGAAAATAGCATTTACCTCAAAACTATGAGTAGCAAATATTAGAATGGATATAGCTCAATAGCTATTATTATTACACAGCTAGTTGTTTTTTTTTTTCTTTTTGGGTCACACCCGGCGATGCACAGGGGTTATTCCTGGCTCATGCACTCAGGAATTACTCCTGGCAGTGCTCGGGGGACCATATGGGATGCTGGGAATCGGACCCGGGTCGGCTGCTGCGTGCAGGGCAAACATCCTACCTGCTGTGCTATCGCTCCAGCCCCTACACAGCTAGTTTTATTGTTTCCAATTGTTTAATTTCCAACTTTCTGCTAAAGGTTCAAAATTTTGGTGGCCTTTATCTTCTCAGTAGATTCTATTATGATGTAAATCTCATTCAGGCATCATATAAATTTTGTTTTGTTTAGCTTGGGGGCCACACCAGTGATGTTCTTGGCTTGTGCCTGGCTCTTTGCTCAGGCTCACTCCTGATGGGGCTCCAGGGAGCATATGGGGTGCTGGGGATCAAACACGAGTTGGCTGCATGTGAGACAATGGCCTTAACTCCTCTACTACTAACTCAAGCTTTATTTTATTTTTATTTTCGTGTCACACCAGGCTATGCTCAGGCGTTACCCCTGGAGGTGCTCAGGGAAACATATGGGATGCCAGGGATCAAACCTGAGTTGGCTGCATGTAAGGTAAACACCCTACCTGCTGTCCTGTCACTCCAGCCCCACTGACCCAAACTTTAAAAGAAAAATTATTTTCTCTCCCAAATGATTACATTGGCCAAAAAATACTATTTGGGGGGCTAGAAACAGAAAAGTGGGAAGGGCACTTGCCTTGTGTAAAGTCAATCTACATTTGATCCCTGGCACCCCATGGTCCCCTGAGCCCCACCAGGAGTGATCTCTGAGAGCAAAGCCAGGAGTACGTGCTGAGTTCACTGAGTAATAATACATTGTTGAGTATTAGAAATGCTTTTAATATTATATCTAAAGTATTCAAAGACTGATCTATCTCAAAAACTGCAATTTTTTGTTTTTGTGCCATACCTGGTGATGCACAGGGTTTTCTCCTGGCTCTGCACTCAAGAATCACTCCTGGCAGTGCTTGGGGGACCATATGGGATGCTGGGAATCAAACCCAGGTCAGCTGCATGCAAGGCAAGTACCTTACTTGCTGTACTATGTCTCCAGCTGCGAAAGGACTGCATTTAAAAGATAACTCCCCCAAAATACTGAAGGAAGAACTAGGGAGAACTACCATCCTTTCACTTTTTTTTTTTTTTAAATGTAGGAGTATTGATATCCATCCTTTCACTGTTTCTAAGAAGTCTGAGACAGGAAGTGAGCTCGCGGACTCTCCAGCCAAGCTTTTGTTTTCAATACGCTTCACATAATTTGTTTTACAGCCACTTACTTTTTATTTTTTGTTTTGGGGCCACACCTGACAATGTTCAGGGGTTACTCCCGGTTCTATATTTCTGGCAGAGTTTAAGAGATTATATGGGATGCCAGCAACTGAACCCAGGTTGGCTGCATGCAAGGCAAATGTCCTACCTGGTGTACAGTTGCTCTGGCCCCAAGTCACTTACTCTTTAAATCATTTTTCTGGCTCATCTCTTATTTCTTTTTTGGCAGAGAGGGGTGAGAAATATATGCTTTGCAAATATTAGGGCTGGATCCCAGGCTCTAATATTTGCAAAGCATATGCTCTACCACTGAGCTACATCCCTGGGTTCATTTAGTATCTTAGTTGTACCTAACTGTACATATTATTCTTAATCTTCCTAAACATATTTATAAAAATAAAAGCTGCACAGGCATCTCTAACAGGTACTAGGCCCTCTAATAGAGAAGGTTAATTCAAACAAGCATTAGACTAACAGTAGAAATATGACTGGTCTTTTCATTTCCCATTCCTTGTGAGTCTAATTAAACCTGATCTCTAAAAGTCAGCTACCTTTTATCTACCAAAGTTTCAAGAGCCCTCCGTATGTGTTGAGGTCTCAGCAGTTGCATAAATTATCTTCTCAGTAACTTAATATAGATGTCCATATCATAACTCAAGAGTGTAAAACAGAATAACCAAGTTAAAGGGAAAAATGATTCCAACCTACTTTCTACTTACATTTAATGTCATATCTCACCTATTTCAGCCATCAGTACAATCGTATTCAAAAAAATGAGGAAGACAATGAAGTTTGTGAAGGGAGGACCTGTTTTCTCCTCTTAAGGAAACAAATAGAATTCTTTCATGACTTATGCAATGAATAAGGACAAGAATCAGTGAAAATGTAAAAGAAAATGGAATTTAGGAAGGAAAAAGTAAATTAGTTGGCAGATGAGGGGAGAGGTACAGTAAAAGCATGGGATGAAAAGAATGGCACATGGGGCCAGAAAAATAGTATAGAAGGCAGGGTGCTTGCAAGTGCCTGACTCAGGTTCAATCCCCAGCATACCTCATGGTCCCTGAGCACCACCAGGAGTGATTTCTTAGTGCAGAGCCAGGAGTAAACCCCTGAGCACTGCTGAGTGTGGGCCCCTCCCCCCAAAAATGGGAAAAAGAAAAAGAATGGCACGAAAGGATACACTCAAGAACCCATCCAGCCCACAAGGAAAGAGAGGCCCGCTTACTGCAGCGGATTTTTAGCCTGCTCAAAAGTCTCTGGCTATATGTGATCCGTTTCACATGATGAGGTCTTATGGAGAAGCGCACAAGTTGATGTTGATCTCCCAACATAATTTTCTTCTGACGAGAAGGATCTACAACAGAAATGTTAAAAGGCTCATGAATATACATAAAGAGAAGTCTGGGGGTGGGTAGGTATGAACGGTAGGCCAGGCTGGGGGTAGAGATATTGGTTGCTTAAAAGGATTACAGTGCAGGGCTTCTTGTCTTGCAGCGAGCTACTTTTACCACTCCAATATAAGCTTCGATTGACAAACTACATTGCTTATGACCAAAACTGTCCATGCCCAAGAAAAAAGGCAGCATGTACAACCCTCCAAAAGTGTTAAGTGCTGTTGGCAGAAATTTCTAAGTCAGCTGGTACCTATCCTAGGTTGAAAAGTGAGTGATATGGGTTCTACCTCCTAGATTAAAAATTTTTTGTTTTTTCCACAGCACTCAAAAGGAGAGATAACAAAAGGGAATGCCCTGCCACAGAGGTAGGGTGGGATTGGGGGATGGGGGTGGTAGGGATACTGGGACTGGTGGTGGTGGAGTATGGGCACTGGTGGAGGGATTGGTATTCGATCATTGTAAGAAAAAAAAATTTTGTTTTTTGGGCCACACGTGGTACTGCTCAAGGCTTACTCCTGACTCTTCATTCATTTCTGGCAGCCTTGGGGGACCAAATATGTTGCCCCAGATTTGCTGGGGATCAAAACCAGGTTGGCTATATGCAAGGTAAGTGCCCTACCTGCTATACTATTGCTTGCGCCCCAGAATTCTACTATAAAACCTTTGATGTACCAAGTTTGTTGTCACCCCCAAGCAATAAATAAACCCATCTTCCCCAAATTTTCCACCCTTAAAACTGACTTCCTTTGAAGGTGTACAGGTGAGTCTTTTTGGGCGGAGAGGGGAGGGTTTGGGCACAACTGTGTTTAGGAATTTCTCTTAGCATGGGCTTGGGGGACCATTACAGTGTCACAGGGGATTAGGCAAGCTCCTTAACCCAGTACATATCTCAGGCCCTGCAGAGGAGTCTTAAATTTATCCTAGGAAGAAATAGGAACTAACCAAGTATCTCTCTGACAGTGTGACGTGGCACTGCTTGGCTCAAGCCTTGCAGATGCTCAATGAGAGAGAAAGTATCAATGAGACGTGATCGAACGGCCTCCGCTCGCAACAGATGATATTGGTCTGCTTTTTGTTGTGTTTGGTGGTGAGTGGCCATGGTCTGTTTAAGAAAAGAAAAACTAAGCATCAGTTTATTCTTAGAATTACTCATTCCACAGGTTAGTTTTCTTCTCCATCCCACCCTCTTTGGCCTTAAGACAAACACATTGTATCAAAATCCAAGATTTGGGGGTGGGTGTTGCGCCTCACTTAACGGTGTTTCGGGTAGTGTCGGGGAATTGGACCAGATCGGCCAAACCTCAAGCCCAAACCCAAAATTTTTGAAACAAATGGAGCGATACTGCACAGTCGATAAGGGACCAGGCGTCTTTGTGTGACAAACTCCTAATGAAAAGCTACAGTTACAAGGACAACAGTCCATGGGCTGGAAGAAAAGGCAACAGTCAATGCAGTACGGCGGGTGGGAGGGCTGGGGTTGCCTTCAAAAGGCAGAACAAGTTTTAAAAGGAAAATGAACAAAAATACAACGGCCAACCCCCGCTGCCCCCTCGACCTCCTCCGCCCCCCCGTCCGGACCCAAAACAACAACAAAACCCAAAGAGCCCAGCGAATCCCATTTTAAGAGGGTCCATCCCAACAACAACGTTCCCCGGGATGTTGGCTCCCTCTCTCAGTCCCGCTTCCCTGGCCTCACTTCCGTCCAGCTTCTCTTAACTGCGCTCTGGGCCTGACTTCACCCGGCCACCGAGCCTGGCGCCCCCGGAGCGCGCCTCCAGCCACTCGGCAGGGGCCGAGCCCCGGCCGCGTACAACCCCACTCCCAGCTCCGGCCCGCCACGCCCCGCCCGCTCCCCAGTTCCGGCTCCCAGCCTTGGTCCCGCCCCGCGCTCTCGGCCACTCGTCGGTTACCGCCCGGTCCCGCCCCCCGCCGACGCAGGCGCCGCGCAGCCAATGGGCGGCTGCCACACTGCGGCCCGAGCGCTGGGGGCGGCCACCTCCGGCTGCAGGTCCGCCTGGGCCAGACGCGCGAGCGCAGGCCGTGGGTGCGTGGTCGCTGCCCCGGCTTCCGCAGTCCCCACCGAGCCCCGACCCTCCTGGCCGCCCCCACCCACCGCACCTCGCCGCCATGCGCCTCCGCCGCCGAGCGCTGTTCCCCGGCGTGGCCCTGCTTTTCGCCGCGGCCCGCCTCGTTGCTGCTTCCGACGTGCTGGAACTCACGGACGACAACTTCGAGAGTCGCGTCTCGGACACGGGCTCCGCGGGCCTCATGCTGGTCGAGTTTTTCGCTCCCTGGTGAGGACCACTAAAGCCAGGGCGGGGGAGGGAGGGCCGGGTTGGGCCGGGCCAGGCCGGGGGCGAAGGCCCCGAACGGTTGGGCCTGCGCAGCGCCGGCGTCCGCCACCATTCCGAGGGCTCCGCTGCGGCCGGGGAATAAATCCACCCCCGGGAAGCCTTGGTGCGAGCGCAAAAGTCAGTGCTGGTTTCCCGGGAGTGAGGCCCGAGAAGTAAAAGCTGGGGGCCTCCCTCCCGCAGGGCCACATCCTTTACATTCGTGCTGTTGCGGCACTTTTGGTTTGCAGAGGGTTTAACCTCCCCACCCCCACCCCCTCCGTTCGATTGGTATCATTAGTTTCTCGGTGAGTCAGTGTTAATGTTCTCCATTCTACGCGAAAAGCATCCCCAGGCCTTTTTGCAAGTCTACGTTTTCCCCCAAGAGCGGGGGACCCTTAACCACCCGGGTAGACTTCCTTTCTTCTGGTCCCACGCCTCGAAACCATTGGTTTCCAGCCAAGGTCACCCGGTGGCTGCGGAGTTAGGCATAAGTGCTTTCTTGAAGCATGCAGTTGTATTGTCCATCGCATGTTGCACTTCTCCCTTTACTGATTTCTCAGGCACTAGCAGAATCCTATCAAAAAGAACAGTTGAACAAGAAGAATAACGTCGGAATCTGTCTGCATTGTCAGGTTTAGGAGTTCTTAAAAATGCGGCCCCCTCCCCCAAGACTCCAGTGAAAAAGCGACCAGTATCATAGGAATGCGTCAGGGCGATTTAACTGAATGAGGGTGTGTAAATTCCTTAGGATAGAACTAGAAGTAGCAGCCTGGGTTGGGGGAATAACTTGCCCTGTAAACCAAAGTTTCTTATTCTTAACCATGGCAAAAAGCAAAAAGCTTTTTGCTTGGGACAGCTCTGTGTATCCATGCTAATTACAGAGCTTAATTTTCTCTTGCCTTAGTGACCCTTAATTTAAACCCATTTTGTATTCAAAGTGCCAGTAAAATGGAGTTACTGCTACTCACTGTCTCACTTCTTTCCTCTTCCATGCTACAAAGGCTCATCTGACTTATAGAGGGTTACATTAGAAATCCTGCAGTGATGACTGCTACAAACAGAAGGCAACAAATTGTTTCCAGATTCTTGTGTCTAGGGCATTCTTGGTCTCATAGGTGGTCTACATTCTTTAAGAAACAAATCTTGCCAAAGGTACAATCTTGGTGTTAGATTTGAGGGCATATCACTGCGGTATAACTGGAGCTATATATATATATATATTTTTTTTTTCCTATTGATGTGTTTGAAATTTGTTGCCTCTGCTTCCTTTTAAAAAAAAAAAACGATGTATCCCAGCATGCATCAAACTATCCCCCAAATTGGGTGGATCTCTGCTGTGCTGTCTGCTTTTAATTGGTCTAGAAGGTAAGGCTATTCTCCACAATGCTAGCAGGAAGGATCAGTTTTCTGAGTGAGTAATTTGGAGTCAAGGGTCTGGAGTTTGGTTGAAAAAGTCCTTGTTTCTGCTCATTCAACTTTTTATTAATGCCTCAGTTAATGTTTTCTAATTGCAATGTCCTTTTTGTGCAGATCAGGAGTAACTTCTTTTTCTCATTGGTTTCAGGGTTTTTTTTTTTCCTTTCATTTTGCAAGAGAAAGTGAAAGATTACAGTTGACTTTGTAGACTTTATTGTCATTATGGAATTAATCATTTTTGTATAAGAATTTTTAATTTTCTGGGGGATTTCTCCAGGGAAAAAGGATTTTATTAATAACTTTGTCAAACTATCAAAATGTTTGTAATTTCTGAAATTTTATCGAAAATGGTTAAACTTTAAGTCCTCAACATTCAGTTGTTTGTAGATTTGTATTCTGACCTTTTATACTTCTAGGAAAGAAGTCTTAAATAATACTTGATGCTATATTCTAGAATATGGAAAAACACTAGGGACAGTTTAACATATTCTACCTGGTTCCCCCCCAGTAATCTCTTCAACGCAGATGCTCAAAAATTTCTTCTGAACAAGTAACTGATTGCTTTACTTATATTGGGACCTAATGTTACTATCACTGCTGCTAGTTTTGTATATTCCCATAGGAGGAAAAAACTATCAGTTTTTCTACCACATACTAAAATAGCATTGGCACATTATAGGCATGAAATAATTGTTAGATGAATATATGTTAGGCTTCTTTTAACTTCCTGGTTCATAGAGTCATTTACATATGGGTGGGAGAAAGAAGTGGTTAATTTTAATGATCATCCTCAGACTCTGAGATAGAGAGTCTGGTGAATTTGGAGAACTTTACTCCAGCCTCACTGGTACTCCATTAATAATAGATTCTCTCTCTGCCTTTGATGGTAAGTCTCACTAATGGGCTCAGGCATGCAATGTTTAATTTTTTGTGGGTTTTTTTTTTTGTTTTTTGGTTTTTTTGGTTTGTTTTTGGGATATGGGACATTATGTAGTACCAGGGATGAGTCTGGAGTTCCTTCACGCAAAGCATGTGCTGCAGTCCCTTGAGCTATCTCCCCAGGCTGTGTGGTATGTGATTTTTTTTGTTTTTGTTTTTAATGCTCCATGGATAGATATTATTTATGTGTATCTGGATCGAAACCTACTTATTTAGCATGACTGTACAATTCAGTTGTTTTGGGATTATTAAGGTACTTTTTTACCTTTTGGGAGTGGGCTTCCATGCAGTGCTCAGGTTGCCTGGGTAGGTGATTGCCTGAGGTGTCAATAAAGCCATACATTTTTTTACTTTGTGGTCCACATCTGGCAGTGCTTAGGGCTTACACCTGGCTCTGTGCTCAGATTCTTGGTGGGGCTTCAATGGACCATATATAGTGCTGGGGATGAAACCAGGTTTGATTTTGTGCAGGGTCTTTCCTGCTGTACTATCTCGCTGACCCCAGGTGTCTTTATTATTTTTGGGGAAAGGGGCACACTCAGTGGTGCTCAAGGCTTACTCGAGCTCTGTGCTCAGAGATCACTCCTGTCCTTGTGGAGATGAATAACAGATTGGCCACATGTGAACAAACAAGCTGTTCTGCTATCTCTTAGGTCCCACGTGGCTTTATTTTTCTGTTTTCCTCTTTTCAGTCCTATATTTTTGACTGATATAGTATTAGTATACAAAACAGTATAAAATGTTTCACATGGGGCTGGAGTGATAGTACAGCAAGTAGGGCATTTACCTTGCACGCTGCCTACTCAGGTTCAATTCCCAGCATCCCATATAGTTCCCTGATCACCGCCAGGAGTAATTCCTGAGTGCAAAGCTAGGAGTAATCTCTATGCATCGCTGGATGTGACCCAAAATGATCTACATCTAAGGGGTCCACATCTAAAATAGAGCTTTTTAAACTTTTCACTTACCACCCCTTTATGCCTGAGAAACACAGTGTGGACAAGCGCTGCTGTCACGTTTGATTTTAAATTAAATGTTGGTTGTTGTGCATTAAGAAACCTTTTTACTGTTGCCAGTATTTTTGTGACTCCCACATCCTTTACCCAACCTCATATAGAGTCACTACCCACAGTTTAAAAATCTGGGCTTTTGGACAATACAGTGGGTAGGGCACTTAACTTTGCCTGTGGTCAACCTGGATTTGATCTTTGGCACTCCATATGGTGCCCCCAGCTCACCAAAAGTGATCCCTGAATGTAGAGTCTGTATTGAGTCCCTGAGCAGCAGGGTGTGGAATTACATACAGAAAATATATTTTGTGTACATATGTTTGTATACACTGTATAAGTGGGAAAAAAAAACCTAAGCTCTAAAATGCCCTCTTGTATTCTGTTAATTTTTTAATTTTTGTGATGCGAGACTTGAACCCAGGCCTTACACGTGCAAGATAAGTGCACTGCAGCTGAGCTGGACCTTCCTATTCTTTCCCTTTTGTCCTTTTCCCTTTTTATTTTTTGGTTTTTGGTCCCTGGTTCTGTACTTAGGAACTGTGGTGCTACGCTTCAAATTTGGGTCCTAAATGCAAAGCATGTGCTCTAACCATTGAGTATTTCCTTGGCCTTACTTTTTAAAATTCAGATTTTACTGTCTGTGGGGCAGATTTAGAACTCACCATCTCTGCATATGATTCTTCAGCAACCCGTTGTTTTTTCAAGAGATATTAGACAGCTGGTGCTATCTGTTGATGAAGAGTTTCTCAGGGGGTGGGGGTGGGGGAGCTGAAGCAGTAGTATACTAGGTAGGGCTTTTGCCTTGCACTCAGCCGACCCAGGTTTGATCCCAGGCATCCCATATGGTCCCCCCAAGCAGCACCAGGAGTGGTTCCTGAGCACAGAGCCAGGAGTAATTCCTGAGCATTACTGGGTGTGCCCAAAAACAAAAAACACAAACTTTCTCCCCACGGCTGCAGCTGCTTATAGTTAACCCGTGGGACTATTAAGTCTGGAGGCAGCAGGTGTTTCTGATGGTTCTTTGGGAAATATTCCTTTTGACATTTTTTATCTTCGTTCTTACAGCCAGGTGAAACATGTAGCTGGTTTGCTAAAAATCAGGCTACCATCATAAATATATTCCAATGTTGTTGTGTTGAAACACAACTGATAAAAAACAAGACCTTCAAAAACTGCTCGATCTTGCTTAAAACTTTCCCCACTCAGGATACCTTTATTTTAATTTTTGGTTTTGATTCAGGGCTACAGCCAGGTCTTCTGGTTTTGAGCTCAAGGATCACTCCTAGTTGTGCGCTGGGGGACCATAAGATTTTTGTTGTTGTTTTTTTGTTTGTTTGTTTGTTTGTTTGCTTTTTGAGTCACACCCAGCGATGCACAGTGGTTACTCCTGGCTCTCCACTCAGGAATTACCCCTGGCGGTGCTCAGGGGACCATATGGGATGCTGGGAATCAAACCCGGGTCGGCGGCATGCAAGGCAAACGCCCTACCCGCTGTGCTATTGCTTCAGCCCCCCCATAGGATTTTTTTTGAACCCCACATTCAGCTTAAGAAGATAGGTGCCAGAGTGTATTAAACAAGTGTTATCTGAGCCTCTTTGGTTTCTGGTAAAAGATTCAAAAAATGGAGAAGGGACCAAAGAAAGTACTGTTGCCTTGCATGTGACTGGCCTCAGTTTGAATCCCTGGTACCATGTAGGATGCCCTGAGCACACTGTTCCTCCTGAAAGGAATAGAGAAAATGTACCTGATGGAGATGGGGGGGGGGGGGGGGTTGCTGGAGGCACATCCTGTGATAGTCAGGGCATAATTCTGGGTCTGCACTAAGGAATCATTCCTTGAGGTGCTCAGGGAACCATGTGGGATGCCAGGGATTAAACCTCCATCAGCCATGTGCAAGGCAAGCACCCTACCCACTCTACTATCACTCTGACCTCTTGATGAAGCTTTTTAAAATCAGGGGTTGAAGAGAGGTAATACTGTGAATAATGTGCTTAGCTTGCATGAGGCCGACCCATATTTGGTCCCCGGCATCCCATATAGTAGTCCCTTGAATGCAGAGCCTATGGTAAATCCTGAGCACTGCTAGGTGTGGCCCAAAAGCCATTAAAAAAAAAAAGTAAATATCAGGCCTGGGATCTTTATCTCTTTTAGGGGGTCACATCTAGCAATGCTCAGGGGATTATTCCTGGCTGCTCTGTACTCAGGAATTACTCTTGGTGGTGCTCGGGGTACCATATGGGATTCTGGGGATTGAACCCGGGTCAACCTCATGCGAGGCAAACACCCTACTTGCTATGCTATTGCTCCCACCCAGCCAGGGATCTTTCAATAGTTCAGTCACTATATAGGAACTACAGTGCTGAGACTGGAGAGATAGTATAGCGGAAGGCACTTACTTACCTTGCCCGTGGGTAACCCAGGTTTGATCCCCGACATCCCATATGGTCCCCCAAACACCACTAGGAGTGTTTCTTGTGCACAGAGCCAGGAGTAAGGCCTGAACATTGCTGGGTGTAGTCCAAACACTACTATCCTGCCCTGACTCTAAACAAAATACAAAAACTGCAGTGGTTGTTTCCAAAAGAAAAAGATGTACCTGCCTTTGGGGAGAGCTATCAAAACTGGCCTTATTACTATCATTGCTTCATTTTATCATTAAAGGGTCAAAAGGGCTTGAGTCCCATTCTAGGACTCAGTTGCACTTTTGGTTTGGGAACCACACCCAGCAGTGCTTAGCCTACTACGATGTTGGTACGCAGGGGACCATGTGGTCCAAGGGATCAAACCCAGGCTTTGTGCATGTGAAATGTATGCTCCATACCCTGAACTATCTCTTGGACTTGGACCTTTTAGTAGTTCTTGTAATTGGGAAACATTTCGCTCTGGACTAAGCTAGTCCTATAGAGTCAACCTCAGGCTCGAAATTGTATCTTGACCTTCTGAGAGATTCTAAAGAAAGTTGAGCCAGAGAGTGGGTACAGGGAGTAAGGCGCTTGTTTGGCATGAGTTTCCCCAAGCACCACCAGAAGAAACGCTGAGCACAGAGCCAGGAGTAGCCCCAGAGCACCGCTGGATATGGCCCCAAAACACATTGTGACGCCCAAACCCCCCCCTCCAAATAAAGTTAATGAATTTAAAGGGTTAAATTGAGAGTTTGGCTTTAAGAAAAGAAAAGCAAAACAAAACGTTATATCTATATGACTGTCTATATAGGTGTGGACACTGCAAGAGACTTGCCCCCGAATATGAAGCTGCAGCTACCAGATTAAAAGGAATAGTCCCATTAGCAAAGGTGAGTATAAGTGGGTTGTTCATTAAAGAAAAGGAGTTTTCAGAATGATCTCATATGAGTGAGATCATTGAGCTAGGTAGCCACAAAGGGTCAAAGGCATCACAATGGGAGAACTGATCTATTCAGTTGATTTGGGGGGGTCTTTGAAAGAGAGGGGCATTGAGATTCTTAGGGAAGGGAGGTGGGTGCACTTCTGATGGGTGTGGTATTGAAACGATGTGCATGAGAAACCACCACAGAAGTTCAATTAAAAAGGGGGGGTATGGGGTATTTTAAATGGTAGTTTGGAAAATTAACCTTTTTCTACCCTGAAGGTGCAAAGAACAACACTAGTTCCTCAGCAGAAACCCAAATAAATTTAATTGGGGCTTCAAAGCACTAGAACTAATATACATAGTAATAAAAATTGGGGAGGGCAACGATAATATAGCTGATAAGCCATCTTGTACGTGGCTGACTCAGGTTCAATCCCTGGCACGACATATGGTCCCCCAAACCCTGCCAAGAGTAAGCTCTGAGCACCACTTAGTGGTGGCCCCCTTGCCACTCCCCCCCTCAAAGAAGGGACAGATATGAAAGAAAAGAATAATAAGTAAAAATGGGAGCAGGGGGATAATACAGTGGGTAAGTTGCTTGCTTTGCATGCATCTGACCTGGGTTTGATCAGAACCGACTAGCCACACCGAGCTATTTTCAGAGCTTTCTGCTAGCTCTTTGCTCAGGGATCACTCTGGCCAGGGTTCAGGGGACTACTTAGGATACCAGGGATCAAACCCAGGTCCCATAAGTATAAGACAAGTGCCTTAACCCACTGTGCTGTCTCTGCCTCAAGAGAAATTTATTTCTCGTATTCCTTTTTTTTTTAATGTTCTGAGGTAGAAAAAAGATGAAGATAGTTGCATTTTTTAAAAAGTCAGGGATAAAAGTAAAGGCCAATATTTCCTAAAGTGGGTGATAACACTCTGTGGGGTGGGGGAACTAAAATGATCCAGGGGTTGGTACTAGCTTTGGGTACCATTGGGGGTATCTGTTTGCTTCCTTCAAGTCAAAGGGATGCTGACTGGTTCTTTTTTTGAAAGGGGGTTTAGGCCCAATAAGTTTGGGATGCTCTATTTAGATGTAGAGATCCCAGGGGTAGAATTTAACAGGTGATTTGTGTATAGTATACAACACAAAGGAATCTGAATTTTAAACAACTACATAGATGGTTCTGTCCCAGCTTCAGTTTGCCTTTAAGGTCTAATACTCTAGCGCAGTGATTCCCAGCAGCATTTCTCTACCACGGGGCACATACCAGACTAGTAAGCCTACTGATACTACTGGGGGTGGGAAGACAAGACAAAAACAAGGTTGGAAGGGGGCCACTCCTGGAAAAATTGAGAAAAATTGGCTTCCGTTGCCTGCCTTGGAAGAGTGTTGTGTTCATGAGTCCAAATTCCCATGTCCTCCGTGTACCCATCATGATTCTGAAACTTGGCAACTCAGATTGTCTTAAATCCATGACCCCACGAGCAATTTATGGCCTAACTAAAGCCAGATGCTTATAAGCACCACAAAAGTAGTGTTTTGGGGCTGGAGCGATAGCACAGCAGGTAGGGCGTTTGCCTTGCACGCGGCTGACCTGGGTTTGATTCATAGCATACCATATGGTCCCCCAAGCACCGCCAGGAGTAACCCCTGTGCATTGCCTGGTGTGACCCAAAATGCAAATAAATAAATAAATAAAGGTGGTGTTTCTCAACTAAGACTGTGAACCCGGATGAAGCTGGAGCGATAGTCTAGTGGGTATTTGTCTTAGATGTGGCCGAACTAGGTTTGATCCCTGGCATCCTATAGGGGTCTCTGAGCACTGCCAGAAGTGATCCCTGAGCACTGCCGGGTGGGTACAGCCCCCAAAAATAAGGGAAAAAAAAAGTGTGAGCCAGAAAGCACATGTGCAAGCAACTAAAGAATTGTATATCTCAGTGAGCACTGTGGTAGCAACGAAGGGGAGAGAGGGAAAATACAATATTCTGTGGCAAATAAGTCCAGAATTGCCCCTCTTTTGATTTCACATATCCCAATAATTTGGGAATGTAGGAAGAGCCTGTGGCAGGCTGTTTGCCATCAAGTGGTTTGTGTATTTCCATCTTTAGGTCGATTGTACTGCCAACACAAACACGTGTAATAAATACGGAGTCAGTGGATATCCGACCCTGAAAATATTTAGAGATGGTGAAGAAGCAGGTGCTTATGATGGACCCAGGACTGCAGGTAAGAATCCTTGTTTTACGTTGTGGAAACTAAATTTATGAAGTATCTTGTGGAATAGGGCTGAGCACATGCTTTGTATGCATGAAGTCTGTATTTGATTTCTGGCACCACACAGGCAACATTGGGAGTGACCCCAAAACAACGAGCTGTGAGTAGCCAATAGCACCAACAGGTGTGGCCTCTATTGTCGTGCTTCTTGATTTTGGGGCCACAACTGGTATTGCTTAGGGCTTACTCCTGGCAGGGCACTGGGGAATCTAACCCAGATCAGCCATATCAAGGCAAGAGCATTATGCCCTGTTCCAACCCTAATTTTTTTTTTCTCCTTTAAGAGGTCAGTTTGGGGGCTGGGGCGATAGCACAGCGGGTAGGGCGTTTGCCTTGCATGCGGCCAACACTGGTTTGAATCCCAGCATCCCATATGGTCCCCTGAGCACCGCCAGGAGTAATTCCTGAGTGAAGAGCCAGGAGTAACCCCTGTGCATCGTCAGGTGTGACTCAAAAAGAAGGAAAAAAAAAAGGTCAGTTTAGTTGGTAGCTAGCTAACAAAATCCTCTAAGTGAACAAATTAAGACAGAAAATACTCGAACTTGAGTAGTAATGTGAACTGAGCATGTTTTAAAAGTGACACATTTGGGGCTGGGGCAATAGCACAGCGGGTAGGGCATTTGCCTTGTACGCTGCCGATCCAGGTTCAATTCCCAGCATCCCATATGGTCCCCTGAGCACCGCTAGGAGTGATTCCTGACTGCATGAACCAGGAGTAACTCCTGTGCATCGCCTGGTGTGACCCAAAAAAACCAAAAAGAAAAAAATAGTGACACATATAATTGAGGTTTTATTAACTCTGTGAGATACCATTCTGTTTATAAGAAGTGCTTGGTGTTATTTAATATTCTGCAAGTGGGAAGGAGTGTTCTGCCACATGCAGTAGGCTTTTCTTCCTGGATTTGTGCTCAAGAGTGACCTCTGGTGGGGTTAGGAGGCGAGGCAACTAACTGCCTTACCTTGTGTACAATATGTGTATCCTCTGTGTTTAGTATTTATTTATAGATAAAAGACTCAGGGTTCAGGCCAGAGAAGTAGTGCATAGTTTAAGGTATATGTAGCCAAAAGAACTGAAAATAGGCTATATGCTCAGCAGGCTGGAGCAATGCTTCATCTAGGTTCAGTCAACACCACACAGTCCTCCAAGCACCAAACTGGGAGCATTGGTGGATATAGCCCCCAAAATTTGAAAGCAGTTATTGAAATCTTTGTATACCCTTACTTATAACTACATAATTCACAGTAGCAAAAAATGATAGAAGCAGACCAAGTCTCCATCAATTTATATGGCAATATCACCGTCCTCCCGTTATTCATAGATTTGCTCAAGCGGGCCCAGTAACATCTCCATCATGAGACTTGTTATTGTGTTTGGCATATCGAATACATCACGGGTAGCTTGCCAGGCTTTGCCGTGTGGGCGAGATACTCTCGGTAGCTTTCCAGGCTCTCCGAGAGGGGCTGAGGAATTGAACCTGGCTTGGCCAGGCCAGCTGCACGCAAGGCAAATGCCCTACCACTGTGCTATTGCTCCAGCCCATATGGCAATATCTGAAATGTAATATATACAAAGGAATATTCAACCTTTAAAAAATAAGCCCTGAAGAAGCAATGGGGGCAGGGATCAAGGGAATTCAGCTACATTGATGGTAGTGCTAACTATCCAGACCACAGAGTTAGCAACACTGAAATCACTGAAATCACGAGTCCCAAACTTGAATAAACAAATTTGAAAGATGCCTCTCGAGATGGAAGGCTGGGGTGGGGTTGGAGGTAAGAGAGGGAACCTGGAAACACTGGTGGAGGGAAGGGACATTGGTGGTGGCATTAGTGATGGAATATTGTGTGTTAAAAACCCAAAGTGCTGGAGCGGAAGTTTTACATGCAGGAGTTAATTTCCAGAACCACATGCTCCCCTGAGCTATGCTCAGGAGTGACCCCTAAAACTGTGGCTCAAATACCGAAGGGGGAAAAGCAAAAGAAATGAATTTTTCCATTGACCCTGTGATGTGCATCCAGGAACTTACCATACAGATAAACTCTTCTGTGTACATTGACAGTAATACAACATTGTTTATTGCAGAAGTGTTTGTAACAGTGTATTTCAAACAGAAACTTGAAGTGTTTTGTGACTGGGTGATACATTATGGCACATTCATGTAGTGAATCACCATGGAGTTATAAAAAAGTAAGAGGTCGGTGCTGGATTGCTGACTAAAAAGGCTAGCACACTTTTTTTGCATCCTGGAGCCTTGTGTTTGATCCCTAACATACCACGGTCCCCTTTCTGTACCAGTACCACCCCTGGGTGTGTCCCCAAAACCAAAACCATTTAGAACATTAAAAACTATATTTAGGTTACCACTTATGTGTATATGTCTGAATTTTTTTACTTTTGTTAAATGTTTATTCTTTTAGATTTATATAAAATATGTATTGATATGTTATTTCCTCTTTCAAGATGGAATTGTCAGCCATTTGAAGAAGCAGGCAGGACCAGCTTCAGTACCTCTCAAGACTGAAGAAGAATTTGAGAAATTCATTGGTGACAAAGATGCTTCTGTTGTGGGTAAGTAAGAAATACTTTATTATGCCACAAAATTATCTTGATCTCAGAAATCTTTGAGTAACAACAAAGCAAAAGGCAGTTTAGGGGGCCAGAGAGATGCCCAAAGAATTGGAATGTATGTTTTACATGTGGGAGCTCCATAATTACACTTCATGGTCTTACAAGCACTACTGAGTTCCCCACTTTTAGCTGCACAAAAACAAAAACAGAACTCCGTTCTGGTTCAAAACAGGTTAGGAAGGTTCACGGTAGTTTCGGAAGATTCTGTCTTTGACCTGGTTTTGTATTCTTAATAGATTCTTATGTATTCTTAAAGATTCAGTGTCAGTTGAATGTGCTGTGGAGGAATAGCTTCAGTTTTTCTCTGTGGTCTATCCTCAAGGTCCCCTGAGCTTTTCTATTACTTCTTAAACCCTGAATATTTACTCAAAACAAGAGGGTAGTTAGGACTGGGAAAAAAGGATAGATACCGAGAAATAGTTACGCCAGGGATCCAGCCAGGGTTGGTCTCATGCAAGGCAAGTACCGACTCACTCCTATCTCTGCAGCTCCACTCTGCTTTTTGAGCTCTCCCTGGCCCTCAGTCACTTCCTATAGCCTGGATTTTACTGACCATATTTTGTTCAAGTTAACTATAAACATATTAAACCATTATGTTTAAGTCACTTTTCTAGATCTTAAGTTCTTAATACAAGTTAAAAATAAAAAAAGATGTTTACTTCTTTTTTTGTTTTTGTTTGTTTTTTTTGTTTTATCTTAGTGACTTATTTAATCCTCTGTAGAATTGACTATCTTAAGTTGCCCCCATTTAGGGTCCTGTAGTGCCTGGGCAGCTCTGACATTGCACCATTTTCCCTGCTTCCATCTTAATATTTTGTCGATATTCTGGGTTACGCATGACAATGCAGTCACTTGCTTGGGCCCGCTCGAGCAAATCTGTAATAGAATAAATGCTAAAAATAGAATTTAGAAGTTTTAGGTCTCAATACTTTTTTCTTCATCATATTTGATTTTTTTTTAATCAAAATAGGCTTTTTCAAGGATTTATTCAGTGAAGCACATGCTGAGTTTCTGAAAGCAGCCAGCAATTTGAGAGATAACTACCGATTTGCACACACCAATGTTGAGTCTCTGGTGAACAAGTATGATGATGATGGAGAGTAAGTAACAGATAAGTTCCCTTGTAAATTTCTTGACCATGTGCTGTAGTATAAACTGATGAGCTTTATGTCTTTTTATAAAAGGTCTAGTGAGTAATTGCTAGGTATTAAACTAAGTGCTAGAAATTATTACTATCTTTCAGAGATAGCTTCTTGGCAGAGATAGTAAAAATAGGCAGAGATAGTAAATAGACATAAAAATATGTGTAGAGGTCGGAGCGATAATATAGCAGGTAGGGCATTTTACTTGCATGTGGATCACCCGGGTTCGATCCCAGACGTCCCATATGTCCATATGGTCCCCTGAGCACTGTCAGGAGTAATTCCTGAGAATGGCTGAGTGTGACCCAAAAAGAAACAGAAACAACAACTCTCTGTGTGTGTGTGTGTGTGTGTGTGTGTGTGTGTGTGTGTGTGTTTAAATGTAAAGGGGCTGGAGAGATAGTAGAGTGTCTGGAGCTGTTGCCTTGCATGTGGCCAACCTGAGTTCAATCCCCCATGGCCTCTATGGTCCCCTGAGCACTGCCAGGAGTAATTTCCTGAGCGCAGAGCCAGGAGTAACCCATGAGCAGTGCCAGGTGTGGCCCCCAAAACAAAACAAAAAAAATGTCTAGGGGCTGGAATGATAGAACAGTGAATAGGGCACTTGTCTTGCATGCGACTCACACAGTTTGTTCCCTGGCACCCAGTGTGGTCCCCAAGCCCTGCCCAAGTAGTGATCCCTGAGAACAGCCAGATGCAACACAAAAACAAATCAAGTATGTGTGTAAGTATATGTTTGTGTGTGATGGGCCAAAGAGATAGTATAGTTGGCAAGAGGTTTACATTGCAAATTTGCTCCTAAGTCACAAGTTCATGTCTAGTACCAGTTTTTCAAGAACTAGTCTTAACTGCATATGCTACTCACTGTGTATGTACTTTTACACACATGTGCATACATTTGGATATTCATTTGCATGCAAGGTAATACCTCTACTGCTGAGCTATACTGTTCCCTAACCACCAATATCTTTTATATACTCAGCCTCAGTGCTCATGCACATTTTGGCTGTACTATGGTCCTGAATGAGTCCTTTGGGATCAGAGAGATAGAACAGTGGGTAAGGTGCTTTCCTTGCATGCATTCGACCTTAGTTTGAGCCCCGGGACCATGGCACCTTCTATGGCCCCCCGTGGCACCTTATATGGCCCCCCAACCCCCTCCTGGAGTGATCTCTGAGTACAGAATCAGGAGAAACCCTGGGTACCATCAGAAAACAAGCAAAAAGTGGCAGCAAGATTAATTTGAGTTTTGTAAAGAAGATGTGATGGGGACAAAGTGATAGTACAGTGGATAGGGCATTTGCCTTGCTCAGAGCTGATCTGGGTTCAGTCCCCAACACCCCATATCTTGAGCCTCGTCAGGAGTGACTGCTGATTGCAGGACCAGGTGTAGCCCCTGAGCACCGCTGGATGTTGACCCCAAACAGAAACAAACACAAGCAAAAGATGGGACACAGTTCTGCTGGTAACCTTTTTTTTTTTTTAAGGGGGATTACCTTGTTTCGTCCTTCACATCTGACTAATAAGTTTGAGGACAAGTCTGTGGCATATTCAGAACAGAAAATGACCAGTGGCAAGATTAAAAAATTTATCCAGGAAAACATGTGAGTACCTCATGTTGGAGAATTCTTTGGTTTGCTTACCTCATTTATTAAACATAGACATGTTTTAGATTAAGAGGGACTGTAATGACAATAGCTGAGGTTACTAGTAAATGAGTAATGTGTGGGCCCTAGAGTACTTGTAGTGATCATTATAAGTGTATTATTCAGTACTTATCCTGGATGCTTGAAAATTTCATTCTGTTGAAAGTGTTATCAGTTTGACAATTCTATAATAGACTTGTAAGCTTATTCAAACTTGATAATGTATTATTTCATTTTAGTTTTGGTATCTGCCCTCACATGACAGAAGAAAATAAAGATTTGATACAGGGCAAGGATTTACTTATGGCTTACTATGATGTGGACTATGAAAAGAATGCTAAAGGTTCCAACTACTGGAGAAACAGGTAATGAATTGCCCCTCTTTTTGTAAACAACCTTTACTTTTACCTGATGTGATATGTGTGAATAGTTCTCCTTAACTGTTCTGTTAGCATCTGTTGTGTGAAAATAAGAATGGGGCTGGAGAGATAATATAAACAGGCAGGACTTCTGCCTTGCATGTGGCAGACCTGGGCTTGATTTCCTAGTACCCTGTATGGTCCCCAAAGCCCCATGAGGAGTGACCCCTGAATGCAGAGGAAAGAGGAAGCTAGCCCTGAGCACTACCTGGTTTGGCAAAGGCAAAAAGAAAAGGAAAGAAAACAGAGTTCAGAGAGATAGTGTGGTGCATAGGACATTTATTTGCCTTACACATGGCAATCTAGGTTTGATCCCTAGGTCCCCATATGGTCTCCCAAGTCTGCCAGAAGTGATCCCTGAGCACCATTGGGTATGACCAAAAGGAAAAAATCAAAGAAGAATGGAAATAGTTTGCTCTAGAAAAATACCTTAATGACAGATGAAATTAACTATATCTAAAGTGTATGAACTTTCTCCATAGATTTTCCTTTGCATTGTCACATAGCTTATTACTACTTTCCAAATCTGAAAGGAGAAAAAAAAATAGGGGCAGTGTAGAGCCGGAGAGATACTCAGAGGGGGGAGTGAGTGTTTTCATGTAGCACCACATGCACGTGGTCCCCAGCACCATGCTGGGAATAGCCCCTGAATCCTACCAGTGTGGTCCCAAAATGAGATGATAGGCCACTGTGATCTAAAGCGTCATGCCTACTGCATATGCTATACCATGAGCCCTTGTCAGTGCCCAGGAACACCAGTTTGGACTGATTCTATTGAACTACATAGACTGCAAAACAATCTTTACTTTCTCTTTGCTTTGTTGTTTAGAAAAGTACTTTACCACCCTTGTCTGGTCCTGACATGAACGCTTTGATTTTCACAGAGTAATGATGGTGGCAAAGAAATTCCTGGATGCTGGAAAGAAGCTCAGCTATGCTATAGCCAGCCGCAAAGCCTTTAGCCATGAACTTTCTGATTTTGGCTTGGAAAGCACTACTGGAGAGATCCCTGTTGTTGCTATCAGAACCGCGAAAGGAGAGAAGTTTGTCATGCAGGAAGAATTCTCGTGAGTTTGGAATTATTTCTTTTTCTATGACTGTAGAAATAGTAGGGAACATTGAACTCTTGGAGGTGGATATAATTTCAGACCAATCCAACCCCCTCCCACTCCTACAAATATTTTGTTGGAAAACTCCATTGAACTAAAGTTAAATTCAGGTGCTTGGAAGGATCCTCAGGCCCCAGATATTTTTGACCTTCACCTTCTGAAACATTAGAAGATAAAGAGGAGAAAAATTTCCTGTGAGCCGGTCAATAAAATAAGATACAGTAAATAGGCACTATTCTCCAGAGGAACAAAATAGTACCTGATTTGTGTGCAGAGATGAAATTTTCAGACAAGTAATACTTTATTGGCACAGAGAACACACAAAATATAAGAGGTGGTTATAATCTAAGAAATTGCAGTAGGGAATAAATGAACAAACCTGACACCTTTTTGTGTACAGACGTGATGGCAAGGCTCTTGAGAGATTTCTGCAGGATTACTTTGATGGCAACCTAAAAAGATACCTGAAGTCTGAGCCCATCCCAGAGAGCAATGATGGACCTGTCAAGGTGAGGCTAATGGACTTTTAGAACTGCATCCTCTATTTCTTCTTCTTGGTTTTCTTTAGTTATAGTGTATTGTCTCTTAGTTTGTTTGTTTGTTTTTGGATCACACTGAACGGTGGTCAGGCTACTCCTGGCAGTGCTTGGGGGCCCATGACAGGTATCTGACCCAGATAACCTGCAGGCAGGACATGTGCTCTAGCCCATCGAGCTGTCTTTCTGACCCTTTCCTTATTTCTTTATTCCAAAAATAAACGAAGGTAGGGTCTAAATAAAAACTTTCTTGACTGGTTTTGTTTATCCTCCGCTCCCTGGGTCATGAATAAGCATTGCCAGTGCTCATGATACTTAATTAGAGCCAGGTTATTTTTTTGGAATAGAGCAAGCTAAACTCTTAGAATAGTTTGTTTTTGGATTCGAGCTATAGTATAGTAGGTAGGGCATTTGCATTGCATGTGGTAAAACAGGGTTTATTACCTGGCACCACATACGATCCCCCGAGCTCTGACAGGAGTAATTCCTGAGTGCAGAGCCAGGAGTGTAACCCCTGAGCATTGCTGGGTACTTTCCCTACATCCCCCACCAAAAACCAAAAATCATCCCAATAGCTTGTTTTGTTCTGCTTTTTAGAAATGGTGGGGATTACTAGGCCATACCTGGTAGTTCTGTGCTCAGGAATGATTCTCTGGATTCTCAAGAAGCCATCTGCAGTGCATGGATCAAACCCAAGTCAGATGCATGCAGGATCAATGCCTTACCCCTTGTACTCTCACCAGCCCCAAGAATAGTTTTCATTTTGTTTTTGTTTAATTGTTGCTGGTGGCCCGGAGAGACAGCAGTGGCTGACCCCAGGATGATACTACTGGGTGTGGCCCAACCTCCTCTCCCATCTCCCTAAAAATACAAGCTTTTTATTTTTTAAATAGTTGTTCTGAGGGACAGGGAAATTAATTCAGATCATAGAACACATATCAAGTTTGGAAGGGTTGGGTCCAGAAGCAAATGTAGCTCATGAGTTCATTCTTAAGCATGCTTAGTGACTAAAGAAATTTCTGTTTTTCTAGGTTGTGGTAGCAGAGAATTTTGATGAAATAGTGAATAATGAAAAGAAAGATGTACTGATTGAATTTTATGCTCCTTGGTGTGGACACTGTAAGAATCTGGAACCCAAGTATAAAGAACTGGGGGAGAAGGTAAGTATAAACCATATTGAGAAAATGATATGCTCAGTTAGCATTGAGCAGTTACTCTAATTAGCTATGAGTTAATGACAAGTTTTTTTTCACAGCTCTCTCCTAACTGCCCTCTAGTGCCCTTAGGCTGTGCGCCTCCTCAGACACCTGCTGACAGGGAAGTTTGATCAGCTGTAGATGACAGTAAAAGTAACCAGCAGCTTCTTAGTTTTGATCAGTTTGTGTGTTTATTTTAAAATGCTTTGCAATAAGACATTGTTTAATTTATTGAACCAGGAAAATTTGACAGTAGCTGTATATAGACTTAATAAGTAGGAACTGAGAAAGTAAAAAAGAGAGACTTAAGGAAGGTTAGAGACTGTATGTGAATATCACTGATCATCTGCAAAGCAAGTTATCCAGGTGTATCTGAAGAATGAGATTAAGTCCTGAATTGACCTAAATGTCCACGCTCACGCTTTGAACATTGAAACTTAAAGGTGTAACCTTTTTAATTACAGCTCAGTAAAGATCCCAATATTGTCATAGCCAAAATGGATGCCACAGCCAATGATGTGCCTTCTCCATATGAAGTCAGAGGGTATGTAGATCAAAAACTCAAAAAAGCGCCTGTGCAGTTGGGAAGGAAAAGTAGACTTGTAGAACATTTCATCATTCAACCTGGTTATGGGGTGGAAAAAGCAGAGCCTTTGTTCGGGAGTCATGCTATCCCTGGAGATCTTCGTCCTGGCTTCGAGGTCTGGAGCGTGGGCCCACATAACTGCCATGAATTTTGAGAGCTCTCAGATTGCTGAGGGTTTTTTTGTTTTGTTTTGTTTTTCTCTTTTTGGGTCACACCCAGCGATGCACAGGGGTTACTCCTGGCTCTGTATTCAGGAGTTACTCCTGGCGGTGCTCGGGGGGCCATATGGGATGTTGGGAATCAAACCCGGGTCGGCTGCGTGCAAGGCAAACGCCCTACCCGCTGTGCTATCGCTCCAGCCCAGATTGCTGAGTTTTTTAAGAGGATGAAAATTTTGCCACATTAGAGAAAAAAAAGTATCTGGCCAAATTGGGGGGGGGGTTGTTGGGGAGGGCACATCAGTGTTGGGTGCCACACCCAGCAGTGCTCAGGGTTAGTTACTCCTGGCTCTCCACTAGGAATCACTCCTGGTAGTGCTCAGGGAGTCATATGGGATGCTGGGGATCAAACCCAGATCAGCCAACATGCAAAGCAAGTGTCCTACCTGCTGTACTATCGCTCCAGCCTAGTCTGGTCAAAGTAGAAATCAGGAAAAGTTATTGCCAGAAACAGCTACTGAGGAAGTATTTGTGACAGTTAATATGGAACCTAAAGTTTGCTTCTTTTTTTTCCCCCTTTGCCAGTTTTCCTACTATCTACTTCTCTCCAGCCAACAAGAAGCTAAGTCCAAAGAAATATGAAGTAAGTGCCTTGCCTCATCTATACACACACAAATATATTCAATTCTTTAATTACACTTAACAAGGAATTTTTCTGGTGCCAGGGGTAGGACTCACTAGGCAGGTCTGAGGCTTGCAAGGTGTATGCACTGTGTCACTGAGCCCGATCCCCAGCCCTAACTAGAAACTTCTGTTTTAAGGTTCTACTCAAAGGTTTTGAGGGCTGCTCCTGTCTCAAAGCTCAGTGGTTCCAGGGGTGAAATCCAGGGCTTCTCCATGCAAATCATGCACTTTGACCTATCTCCCCACCCCAACACTTTAAACTCTTAGTCAAAATAAGTAATTGCGAATGTGTCCTTGTTTTGTTTCATGTCTTTACTTATGCCCAGTAGTACTTACTTGGGTTATTTCTGGCTCTGCTCAGGGGACCGTGTGTGGTACCAGAGTTGGCCGTATGCAGTACCTCCTGTTCCTCAAGCCCAACTGTTACTGTGGTTTTACAAACTCAAAAATCCTCCTACTGGAAGGGAAAACCTAGAGGATTTTATAGAATTGATTTTTCAAAGCAATCTTTCTATTTTTAGGGTGGACGTGAGTTAAATGATTTTATTAGCTACCTACAGCGAGAGGCTACAAACACCCCTATAATTCAAGAAGAAAAACCTAAGAAGAAGAAGAAGGCACAGGAGGATCTCTAAAGCATCAGCCAAATATACCACTTTGTTAAAAAAGGACTCTTCCACCAGAGATGGGAAACCATTGGGGAGGACGGGACCCATATGGGTTTATTACCTCTCATCCCTGAGAGAACAGAATGGATGTAATCTGAATCCTGTTAAATTTTCTCTAAACTATTTCTTAGCTGCACTGTTTATGGAAATACCAGGACCAGTTTATGTTTTTGGTTTGGGGGGAAAATTATTTGTGTTGGGGGAGGGAATGTTGTGGGGGTGGGGGAAATTGAGTTGGGGGGGTTATTTTCTAATTTTTTTTGTACATTTGGAACAGTGACAATAAATGAGCCCCCTTTAAACTGTTTTTTTTTTTTTACCCCCCTGAGGATGGGGAACCAAAGGTTCTCTAGATCAGCGTTGTGCAGCAGAACTTTCTGCACTAACGGAAATGTCTGTAAATTCTCATTGTCCAGTACACATACTATTAAATATGTGAAACGTAGCTAATAACTTTTTTTTTTTTTTTGGAGGGGCAGATTTCGGAACACACCTGGCAGTGCTCAGGGGTTACTCCTAACTCTGGACTCAGGAGTGACATTTGGCTATGCTCAGGGGACCACATGTGGTACCAGGGATTTGAACCAGGGATGTGACCACTGTATCCACATGCAGGGCATGTGCCTTATCTCCTGTACTATCTCTCTGACCCTTGTAACTATTCGAGACTTACATTAAATAACCTTAATGCCCCTAAGCCTCCTAAACCAGCTCATGAGACCCCTGTGTCAGGTTATATAACAATGTGGAGGTCGTGAAAATTTGGCAGCAGTAACTGGTTTCTGAATTCATAGTAACCAAAAATTAAGTCAGAATCAACCATGTTAGGAGACTGGAGAGATAGTATAGAGGGTAGAGCACATGCTTTACATGCAGTCAACCTGGGTTCAATCCTGGCCACCCCCATATGGCGCTCTAAGCATCTCTAGGAGTGATCCTTGAGCACAATGTAGGAGTAATCCCTGAGTGTAGCTGGGTACCCCCCAAAACTAAAAAAAAAATGTTAATCTAAGGTGTTTCTGGCAGTGCTCCCCTTTTTCCATTTCTCAGGCAAAAAGAGATTGAGTGGGGAAAGTTTTAAGAAGTCCTGGTTTAATGTTAAGCCTGTATAGTGTATACCACATAACTGGGTCCGTATTTTCTGTAAATACTGTCTGAATTCCAGCTCTTCCCTAATTGTTTTTATTTTGTTTGAGGGCCACTCCCAGTGATGCTCAGGGGTTATTCCTGACTCTGCACTCAGGAATTACCCCTGGTGATATTCAGGGGACCATATAGGATTGAACCTGGGGCGGCTATGTGCAAAGCAAGCATCCTATCTGCTGTATTATTGATCAGCCCCACTTTTCTAATGTTTATTGTCAATATAAACTAATAGTTAACAGATTAAAGAGCCTTTCTTTTGGGCTCTGTTTCTGACCCTGACCATGACATAAATAAGGTTGGTTGCAATTTATCTCTGCCTTGCAGCTGAGCATGCTTATTTCTCCTAAGGGCTGTTCTCTGCCCATAAATACCCTATATGGGTGTGGCATCAAGCTGGAGTTCTAAGTTGTCCAACGAATTGTTTATACTGCTAAATGCTGCTCTCTTGCCCCAAAAGCACAATGTTTGTCCCATTATCCTTCCTCTTCAGTGGAGCTGTGAATGGTAGTGTTGTATCTGGTTATGACTAAAATTCTTTTTACAGCAATAAGAAACAAAAAGGGTAGAGTTGGTATAGTCTTTTGTTCTGATAAATTGAACTATTTTCTTCTTTGTGGTGAATTCCAAATCTTGTTCACAGTGTTCAGAGTTTCAGCAACTAATTAGATAGGATCCCTAAATGTGGGTGAGCCAAAACTTCTGTTAGAAAAGGAGAGCTAGATTCCACTCTAATCTCTACTTGTTAATTTTGAGGTGGATTTGGTAGAGCTGATAGAAATGTATTATCAGGATCATTCATACTGCTTTGAAAAAGTAAAAATGCCTAAACCATAATCTGGGAAAGTAATTCGTAGGATCTAGGCTGGGGTCTAAGGAGTGTGTGTGGGTATATGTGTGCATGTTGGGATCTGAGGTGTATGTGGGACCCATGGCCTCACTTATAGCAAGTGTTATATCACTGACTAAATGCTGCACTTCCCTACCAGCGATGCTCAGGAGTTATTCCTGACTCTAGAAGTACTGCTGGCAGACTCGAGGGACCATGTGGGATGCTAGGGATAGAACCTGGGTTTGCTGCATACAAGGCAAGCGCCCTATCCATTGTTCTTTCACTCTGGTCCTAAATCTAGAGAGCTCCAAATATACCCGGAATTAAAAATGATCTGTGGAGTGATTTAAGGGAAAAAATATGTTATTTTTTGTCATGCTGGGTGAACCCAGAGCTCCTTGCTTGCCAAGCGTGTGCTTTACCACTGAGCCCGATTCCCAGCCCAAGGAAAGCCTTGAACTTGTATAAAGGACACAGAAGCAGTTTTCATTTTAAAACCATGTTTGTAAAAGAATTCATTTTCAGTAGACAAGTTAATACGAAATCCTTCTCCCATTATATCCAGGTATTGCAAGGTCCTTTAGCTCCGTTACTAGACTACTACTCCGTTACTACTACATTGTCTTTAGGAAGGATACCAGGTTTCATTTTCTGTTCCATCATGATTGTTTCTGAACCATACCAGCAGTGTTCAGCAAGTGCTCTTAGCTCAGGGGATTGTGCATGGTGCTAAGAATTGAACCCAGACTTCTTGCAAATAAAATGCTCTCCAGCCCTTTGAGCTACCTTCTTAATTCATTTAATAAATCTAATATCTTAAAGGCACCTTGTCCTAAAATTGTGCCATTACTCAGCATTTGAAAATGATTTGACCAAAGTAAAGGTGAGGAAACCAAACCTTTGCCACTTTTCCTAATCTGATCACAGAAGGACTTGTATAATCACAAATCCTACAAGAACTAGCACTGCCCACACCCTAAAGATTATGACAACAATGAAAAACCATTAGAACCAGAAGCAGCTTTACTACTTGCCACCCTGGACTCCGCAACAAGAACAAACAATTGGACTCTGGTTTATGACTGCATTTTCCTCAGACCTCTCAATGCACAGACTAAAAACCTTTCAGCTGCCCCTGTTCTTTTCTTCAAATTCCAGGATGAGGCCTTTAATGTGGGATAATTTCTGATGCAGGTACTCACAGCGATGCTTTTCTTCCCTGTATCCTGGGTATCGCTGCAGAGGGGAGAAAAATCCTTTTTTGAAAATCTGCCATTTCTGCCTTCTTAATCACCATTTCCAGACCTTGTCTTACCTTCCTGAACTTTTTGTATTCCTGTAGTATCTTTTCTTCCAGCACCTGAAACAGAGAAAATGGTAGCACCAAGTTTGTCATTGTCCCACATGGTCCCCCGAGTCTGCCAGCAGTACTTCTAGAACCAGGAGTGTGGAGTCTTATTTTCTTTATAGGAGGGGAGTTACTTTCCTTCTTATTTTATGATTTTGTTTTTCTCAAAATAGGCCTGCTTTTGGAGCTGGAGCAATAGTACAGCGGGTAGGGCGTTTGCCTTGCACGCGGCTGACCTGGGTTAGATTCCCAACATCCCATATGGTTCCCCGAGCACTGCCAGGAGTAATTCCTGAGTGCAGAGCCAGGAGTAACCCCTGAGCATTGCCGGGTGTGACCCAAATGGGTAGTTAATGGGGATTTTGACCTGAAGAGTCTGGAAAGCCAATCTGGCTCCAATCCTACCTTGTGTTCTGGAGTTCCTCGCTGAACTCTGTTGATCTCTGCTCCCAGTTCTACGAATCTTTGGCTTGCAGCCCCAACACGAGCGTGCAGGATGCGGTACTCAGCATAATCTGTCTCAAAGTCCTGCTCATAAGCCTGTTGCTGTTCTGCACTGTGGATGGTGCTGTACTGCCTGTCAGGACCAGAGAGCTGTCACCTTGCATGGAACTGTGCCTGAAAGCTCCCAGCCCCTAGGAGGTTTATCCTACTATCTCCTGGACAAAGCTTGATAAAAATTGGAAATGGCAGAGAACTCACAGAAGGTAATCTGGTACCTCTTCAGGACTTGGGGATTCAGAGTCTAGGAAGGAAGCAAAAAGACACAAAATTGACTTATAGGCCTTTTATCCCGGCATGGCAGTTTGACCCTCACTAGCACTCACCTGCCTGATCTGAGGGACTGTGGCCCAGCCTGGGACCCAGGTCTTCATCTTTATCTTCTTCCTCCCAGTCGTCGTCTTCGTCGTCGTCGTCGTCGTCATCATCTTCTTGTAGATCCTGATTGGACAGACTTTGGAGGGGACTTGTTGCTGAATGCAAAGTTCTGAGTCTTTTTTCTTTTTGGTCTAGAGCTGCTGTCGTTGCTGGACGTTTCTTTGGGTGGAAAATATGTGTCATAAGCAGATATTGAGAAGACTCCTGCCCTTTTCTTTATTTTGGGGGTTTGGGCTATACTTAGCAATGCTCTGGTTAGTCCTGGCTCTTGCATTCAGGAATTATTCCTGGCAATACTCAGGACCATATGGGATGCGGGGGATCGAACCCAGATCAGCTGCATGAAAAGCAAGCATCCTACCCACTGTACTATCTGTCCAGTCCCTCGTCCTCTTAATTATGGGTTTCCAGTATTGAAAGTTTTAGCCAAGATTAGACATAGCTCTCATTGAAGAAACTTTTTTGGGGGGAGGGGGTGTTTGGGGGCCATACTCAGAGATGCTCAGGGCTTACTCCTGGCTTTGTGCTCAGGGATCATTCCTGTTAGGGCTCAGGAGACCATACATGGTGTTGGGGATTGAACCTGGGCCAGGTATGTGCAAAGCAAATGTCCTACCTGTTGTACTATCTTTCCAGCCCCCCAAAACTCTTAAAATTTGATTGTTATGTTGTGTTGTGTCATGTTGTGTTATGTTGTGTTCGGAGGCTTATGCATGCAAGGCCAATTCTCTACCGCAGAGCTATATTCCTGCCAGATTACAACTTACCTTGTCTAGATGTTTCTGGCTGGTGGATGAAGGCAATGTCTGATCAGGCTCTCTGTTTGGAAGATAGATCTGATTCCTTAGATATTTGAAGAGGGGATAAGAGATGAAGACTAGTCTAGGAGGTAGGACTAGATCTCTTATTACAGCATTTAGGGTGGCGATTAAAAAGGAAGACAATACCTGACCTTCCCAGGTTGGTCCCACCCAGCCCCAGGTACCTCACTTCCCACTTTGCCATGGGTTCCCTCGAGGATCCTGGGAGTGACTGTCCTTGGCTGTTTGCCAATGAACCTGATGCCTGGCAGGGAAAGTGGTAGGGGCACTTGGTTCCCTCGGCTCAGGCTCTGCCCCACCTTATCCTAATTCCCTGAGGTTTCTGGCCTCACCTCCTCTAGTGCCACCTGGGGCTGGGATACAGCGGCTCCTCCACTGTAGTCTGTTGTGCTGCACCAGCTCTCAGGATTCCTGTCATCGTGCAGATGGGATCCCTGAACTGAAGATGTAGAATCCATAGCTGTGCAAATAGTAAGGCGCTCTCTGAGTGGGCCCAGGCAATGGAGGAGGTTAGGTGCAGATCTGTAAAGGATGGTAGTGGGAAGAAAGCGGGCAGGTGGTGGTGAACTTTTAAGCATCTCTGGGCATTTCCCAAAATTCCCCACAAACCCTGTCTTACCTGCTACCTGTTTCCCCCCACCACCACCACCTTACCTGCCTAAGCGCTGGCACACCAGGTCCAAACTGCCACCGCCTCCACCAAGTTCCTGACCACACTGGGACAGCACGAAGGAAAACAGACAGGACCAGCCAGGTCCCGGGAGCCTCAGATACTAGGAGCAAAATGAGACCCTCAGCCCCGGGAAGTCATCTCCTCCCCCTCCTGCCAATGTCTTTCCTCCCAGAGGCGTGGCAGGGTGAAGGAGGGTCCCCAGGGGCTCGTTAGCACACCAGGTGCACCTGAGCCTGTGCTCCTCAGAAGGCAGAGACGACAGACACAGCCTCCTCAACCGCAGCCCCCGGGGAGCCAGCCCCAGCAGTACCATTTGCGAGGGTTCAGTTCTCAGAACTTCTCCAGCCCTGACTGCCCTCCCCACCCCCAGCAGCGCCACACACCCTGGGGGCGTACTTACACCTCGGTTGCCTTGGAAAGCGATCACTGGCCGGACCTGCGTGGGGGGGAAACAGGCGCTGGCAGAGGGCAGGAGCGGCGCCCCCGGGTCCGGCGTCGGGTGCACAGCGGCATTTGCCGCGCGCGCCTCATGAGGGAAGTGGGGCGGGTGGGAGTGGGAGAGCCTTCGAACGCCGCCCCTTCATCCCCAGGCCGGGTCACCGGCAGAGACAGAAGGCCCAGGAGGTCAGGGCGCGGAGACCCGCGTACCTGTTGCAGCTGGCAGTCGTGCAGAGCCCGCAGAGCCGCATCGTTGAGCCTGAGCAGCAGGAGACTGGTCCGAGCAGCCGGGGCGAAGCACAGGCGGAGACTCCCACTCGGAAACTTCTGGGGTCCCTCCATGGTCGCGAAGTCGAGCGCGGCACTCGGCGAGCCACTCGCGCCGCGCTGTGCTGGGCTGGCGCGCTAGTCGCCTCCGGGCGGCCCCGCCCTCCGCGGGGACCCCACCCCCAGCTTCCCGGCTGCGTGGGCGGGCGGCGCCCCCGGGGACCTGGGCTCGGCCCCCGGCCGCTTCTGCTGGGCTCAGCGCTCACCGCTGGGACTTCCGAGGGGGGCGATCCCACTTCGGAGTGGAGAGTCTGCGGCCCAGTTCAAACCTGCCTCGGTTTCCCTAGCTAACCTACAGTCGGAGATGCTGTCGCCGGGTGAAGCGGAGAGTGCCACCTGGAAAGGGTTTCGGGCGCTGAGGGCTGGGCGGCAGGGCCCGGTTGCTGGGCGGGTTCTGCCACGAGTCCCCGAGGGACTTGGGGATAGCGAACCTGAAGGGGACTTCCTGACTCCACCAATTGGCCCAGCGCCGGGCGGCAGTCCTGGTTAGAGACAGCAGACAGATGGACAGACGGACGGACGGACGGACACACACACACACACACACACGGGCCAAGAAGGCAGGCAAAAGACGTGGGTGGTCGCAGGAGAGTCGCAGGGCATAGATTGTAAGAGAACCTGAGATTGATGTGAAAGAGAGCTGCCCCACTTCCTCCAGAGGGTAAGGGGTGCCATTCCCTGGTCCAAATTCTCAGAGAGCACTCACATCCATCTCAGGCCAGCCAGCTCTTGGTTCATTTTGCCCCTATATTGATCTGTTTCCCAAGAGCCCTGATGTTGTTCTCTTTCCTAGCTAGGATCCCTTTGCTACATCCCTGAGCTAAGTGCTCTTAATGCCCTTCACCTCAAATAAGATTTCCCCTGTGTTTGTCAGAATTCATCCAATAGACACATTATATCACGATCACGATCATCCTGTTGTTCGTGGATTTCCTTGAGCAGGCACCAGTAACGTCTCCTTCTTCCTAGCCCTGAGATTTTAAAAGAGCCATTTCAATGCTCCTTCAGGATTAGGAGAATGAGACCCATCATTTTTACTGGTATTTGGCATATTAAGTACGACGCGGGAAGTTTGCTAGACTCTGCCGTGCAGGCAGGATACTTTTGGTAGCCTGCCAGGTTCTCCAAAGGAAAAAGATGTCGCACGGTCGTGAATGTGGCTGCGCGCTTCCAGGAGCTGGGTTTTATAATCTCTGCGTCTTGGCCGTTGATGGGACCAACCTGGCGCTGGCGGCAGCTGGTGGGTGTGATGCCTACCTACTGGAAGATGGGGGGTCTGGGTGGAGAAGGCCCAGTCCCAATCCGAGTAGGCTTGGAGACCTCAACCCCAGGACTCGCATGCCTGGGTTCCTCTGCCAGTTCTTTCATGCATGAGGCCCGTCCAGATGTGTGGAGAGTGGTCCCAGCATGGCCGTGGCTGGCTCCGGAGGTCCTTAGCTGCTGGGGCTCTGCTCGGGGCGGCGGGGGGTGGGGGGGAGTAAGAGACTCCTGCAGAGTCTCCTGCCCCCCGCGCCTGGCTGTCCTCCTCACCGGGGCCCCTTGGAGTGGGGAGGGTTAAATTTCTCTCCCCCCCACGCCCTGCCTCGAGCAGAGCCCCAGCAGCTGAGGACCTCCGGAGTCAGCCACGGCCATGCTGGGACCACTCTCCACACGTCCGGACGGGCCTCATGCTTGAAAGAACTGGCAGAGGAACCCAGGCATGCGAGTCCCGGGGTTGAGGTCTCCAAGCCTACTCGGATTGGGACTGGGCCTTCTCCACCCAGACCCCCCATCTTCCAGTAGGTAGGCGTCACACCCACCAGCTGCCGCCAGCGCCAGGTTGGTCCCATCAACGGCCAAGACACAGAGACTATATAAAACCCAGCTCCCAGAGGAGAACAGCGCAGAGTCTCCTGCCCCCGCGCCTGGCTGTCCTAACCGGGGCCCCTTGGAGGGGGGAGGGTTAAGACATATTATATATAGCATGTAAATGATTACAGTTGATTTTAAAAATCAGTTGCAGAGGCTAGAGTGAGAGTACAGTGGGTAGGGTGTTTGCCATACACTTGGCCTATCGTGGTTAGATCGACAGCATTCCATATAGTCCCCAGAGCCTGCCAGGAGTGGGCCCTGAGAGCCCCTATCACCTGTGGTCTGTCCTCCCATTATTCATCAATTTGCTCGAGCAGGCCCAGTAACGTCTTCATTGTGAGACTTGTTACTGTGTTTGGCATATCAAATACGTCACGGGTAGCTTGTCAGGCTTTGCCGTGCGGGTGAGATACTCTCGGTAGTTGCTGGGCTCTCCAAGAGGACCGAAGGAATTGAACCTGGGCCGACCAGGTCGGCCGTGTGCAAGGTAAACCCCCTACCTGCTGTGCTATCGCTCCTGCCCACCTGTGGTCTAGCAAAAAAAAAAAAAAGAAAAGAAATCAGTTGCAGGTACCGGATTGATAGTACAGCAAGTAAGGCCCTTGCCTTGCACACTTCAGGCAGAAGTTCAATCCCTAACACCCATCTTATACCCCAGTCCTGCCAATCTGCCAGGGAATGATCCCAGAGCACAGCCAGGAATAAGCCCTAAGCACAGGGTGTGCACAGGGTGTGCTACCCCCTCCTTGGCACCCCACCCCCCAAATAAAATCACTGCAACAGTCTCATATGTGCGAGGCCCTGGTTCAAAGCAGTGTGGAGGGAGTGGGCGGGGAGAGATGACAACAAACCTGCAACTCTAGCAATGAAAACATTTACCTGTCTAGCTCCTCAGGGCTCCCTGCCTCTCTGCTCAACACCTGATAAAAGTTGTGACAGTGGATACAGTTGGTCTCTCAGGGTTCCCTTTCTTCTCAGATGGCACCATGACCTTTTATTAGATTTTTCCAGGATTTAAATTCAAAAGGAAAGACTAGAATGGGGATCAAAGCAATAGTACAGGGGATAGGGCGTTTGCCTTGCATGAGGCCGACCTAGGTTTGATCTCTGGCATCCCCTGAGTACTGCCAGGAGTAACTCCTGAGTGCAAAGCCCCTGAGCATTGCCGGATATGGTCCAAAAAAACAAAATTTAAACAAAGACTAGGATGGTGAAATTTTCCATAGAAGAAGGAGAAAGCAGTGCTGAAAGTGTAGGCAATTGGGGATATACTGGAGGAAGGTAGAAAGGAGACAGGAATCTAACAATTATTGGGTGCCTATTGTGTGTCTGAAATTTTTGCTTAGGAGTTTAAGCAACAGTACAGAAAGTAGGGTGTTTGCCTTGCATAGGCTGACCCAGCTTCCATCCCTGGCACCACATATGGTCCCCAAGCCGACCAAGAGTGATTCCTGAGTGCAAAGCCAGGAGCACCACTGGGTGTGACCTAAAACAAAAATTTAAAAAAAGGAAAGGAAAGAAGGGAAGGATGTAAGGAAAGAAGGGAAAGAAAGAAAAGAAAGAAAACATTATTCAGCCCAGGAAAAATCTCCTTCCTGCTTGCAGGCTTTTTATGTTTGCTTGTTTTATGTTTACTTGTTTTTTTTGTAGTTCTAGGGGTTTAACCCAGGACCTCAAACATGTAAGACAAGTACTCTACTAAGGAGCCACATTCCCAGCTTGATTATTGTTTTTATGGAAGCTATACATGTACATACAAGTCTTATGCAAGACTTATAATAAAAATTTGTACCTTTATTCCATTCTGCTTCCCACTATTTAAAGGAGATTATAACTTAGGTTGTTTCTTCTGATATTTACTGTTTTTCTAAATATCAAGCAATTTCTGGAGGCTGGAGAAACCATATAGCAAGAGTAGCCTCTGAGCATTTCTGGGTATGGCCCCAAAACCACACCCAGCAATGCTCAGAGGCTTTATATAAATAAATTATTTATTACAATAAATAAATAAAAAGTCATTTCTGGATTCTTTTTTCTGACAACACTTGGTTGTGCTCAGGGTTTGCTTCTGACTCTGTACTCAGATATCATCCTGGTAGTGCTCAGAAGACCATATGTGGTACAAGAGATTTGGACCAGTGTCAGTTGTGTGAGAGGAAAACACCTTATCTGCTTGTACTCTCTCTCTGGCCCTTATCTGGAATTTCTTTTTATTCCCCATACCTACAGTGCTCAGGGTTTACTCATGGCAGTGCTCAAGGAGCTATATATGATGCCTGATATTGAACCATGGTTGGCTGTATTCAAGGCAAGCACCTTGCCTTATATATGACCCCACTACCCCCAAATTCCTTATTTTTGCCCAAATCAATATAAATTTCAGTTATCCATTACTAAATGAGTACTAGCATCCCCAATATCTCCTTAATTTCGTGTACCTGCTTCAATCTCTCCCCCCCCCCAGAGAATTATCTCTTCAAAATTTATGTCCCAGAGGCAGGAGTAACAGTCCAGCATGTAGGACAGTTTGCATTGCATGCAGCCCTAACCCTGTGGCTCTTGATGGAGTAAATTACAGGAGCGGGAGCCCGAAGCCTTCTTTGTTTGTTTTTGTTTGGGGCCACACCTGGCCATACTCAAGGCTTACTCCTGCCTCTCTCACTCCTGGAGGGCTAGAGGACATATGGGGTGCTCTTGGACATGTGCAAGGTAATGGTCTTACCTGCCATATTATTGCTTCAGACCCATTCTTCAGGTGTATTGCTCACTATCTTAAAATGTCCTCTTGTTCATCATCCTTTGGCTTGTGTAAGTCTTTATTCTTCTACATCAGCCATACGTCACTTGTTAGGGTTGGAGTGTACAGCAGGTAGGTCGCCTGTCTTGTACACAGCTGACATAGGTTCAGTCCCCAGCATCCCAGAGGGGTGCCTGAACCCTCCAGGAATAAGCCCTGAGCATTGCTGAATGTGACCAAAAACACCCCAAAACCAAACAAACAACCCCCCAATCAACCCCTTCATAATACCCATCAGTATGATAAAAGGAAAAGTGGAAAAGTAGAAAAAAATGTTTATAGATAGCTTTTATGCAGATTATACTAACATCTGTTCTCACTGTTATTCATTTTTGGCCACACCTTGAAATTCTCAGAAGACCTGGTGGCAGTGTTTTGC